ATAAACTTAAGGAATTAAATGTCCTTAATAGCTTTTTTTTTATCACAGAATTTGTTTGTAACTTTACTGTTATTACTAATGAGTGCCATTATTAATGCGCAGAACTAGCAATAGCAGGCATTCCTTTTTTGTTTCTAGTCTTAGATGTAAGACTCCTAAAGTTTCCCCAGTAAGTTTGTTTACTGTAGGTTTTGGTAGGTAGTCTTTGTTAGGTTTCTTAGTTTTCTAAGAACTTTTATTATAAATAGATATTAAACTTAAGCAATAACTTTTTGTGCACCTATTAAGATAAGTATGTGAGATTTCTCCTTTAATCTACTAATAGAATAAATTATATTGGTTGATTTTCAGATGTGGAATTATCTTTGTATTTCCAGGAAAACCCTGTTTGGACAAAAACTTTTTTCAAATACAGTGTTGGATTCAGTTAGCTAATAGTTCATGGAGAATATTTGCTTCTACATTCACAAATGTAATTTTTCTTACTTGTACCTCCTATCCGGTGTGGTGTCAAGGTTATTCTACTCTTGTAAGTGAGTTGGATGTTTCCTCTCTTGTTCTATTCTCAGCCAAAACCTGTATCAGATAAGATTAATCTCTTTTTAAAGTGTTTGGCAAGAAGTCACCTCTAAAATCATCTAGGCCTGGCTTTTAAAAGACACACATACATTGGAAATTGCCATTTCAGTTCTTTGAGTGATTATTAACTTATTCAATTTTTCTTTTTTTTCTTGGAATAATTTTGGTATTTGATGCCTTCCCAGAAATTTTACATTTCATTTAAGTTTTCAAAGTTATTGGCTTTATGGTATATATCTAGAGTTATTTTCCTTTGATATGTGTCTTCCTTGTTTTTGACATTCTTGAACACATTTGGCAGTGGTGTGTCAAATTTATAAGTTTTTTGAATAATTACATTTTAGTTTTTGTTAATCTGTATTTGTTTTAGTCTTTATATTTTAATTTTTTAAGATTTTATTTATTTGATAGAGAGAGAGACAGCTAGAGAGGAAACGCGAACAGGGGGAGTGGGAAAAGGAGAAGCAGACCCCCTACCGAGCAGGGAGCCAGAGGAGGGCTCAATCCCAGGACCATGGGATCATTAACAACTGAGCCACCCAGGCGCCCCAATTTTTTTCTTCTTTATGTTTATTTTGCTGGTTTTTGCCCATGAAGCCTATTCCATTATAAGAAAAATGGGTTAAATGATTTATTAGTTATTATATTAAAACATTTGTTATAATGTAATTTATAGTTCATTTTTACTTTAAAATATAATAATTCTATAACCATGTAATTATTATTTGTAGAATTAACAAAGGGGCATCATCATGATTTTAAAAATTTAAAAATAAAGCAGAAGTTCCCTTTGAGATTCCCTATGCTCAGAGCTGATTTGAATAATTAAGGGTTTCACATAGCTATTAAGTGGCATAGTCTAGATTTGAACTGAGGTCTTCAGATTTCAAGTTCCACATTTTTTTTTCTTTTAAAGATTCTATCCATTCACTTGACAGACAGAGGTCACAAATAGACAGTGAGGCAGGCAGAGAGAGGGGGCAAAGCAGACTCCCCGCTGAGCAGACAGCCGAGCGAAGCTCGGTTCCAGGACCCCGAGATCATGACCTGAGCCGAAGGCAGAGGCTTTAACCCACTGAGCCACCCAGGCACCCCTCAAGTTCCATATTTTAACATTAAAAGATTTCTTCTTCAATACATATTTGTTGAATGAACATATGAATAGATCTTAAAGGTGGTGAATGCTTTCACCCTCCATATGCTGCCAGATGCTTGAAATTCATCCTTAAAATTTCATTCCTTTTTGCTTAATGCCTTAAAACCATTGTTAATTATAGTGCTTATCAGTCAGAATTGTTAATAGATGCACATGTATTTTATTAAGAATTAAAAATAAAAACTGTTTATATTTTTCTCACTACAGAAATACATGCTTAATATAGAAACTGTGAAAACAGAAAACTACAAAGGAAAAAAAAACACATGTAATATCATCATCCAGAAATAAAATGTATGTATTACATGATTTACAAAAATATTTTTATGTACTGGGGAATATATCTATGTCAAATATTTTTCTAAAATAAACTTTAATGACTACATCATATTTAATACTGTCCACATACCACAATTTATTTAACCCATCTCTTTTGGGGGAACACTTGGTTTGTTTATAATTTTTAATGGTTTTAAATATTTTACTAAATATGTATTAGTATTTTTGAATATATAGTATTTGGTTATTTATTTATAGCTAAGTCTCTGTCCACATGTTTATTTTCCTAGGACTGCTGGGTCAAAAGCCTTCACATTATAAATTTTGAATAATTTTCCCAAATAGTCCATAACAATGTGATAGACAGTTTTATGTGTCAACTTGAGTAGGCTGTAATACCCAACTATTCAATCAAACACTGATCTGTGTGTTTCTGGGAAAGTATTAGTGATTAACATTCACAAGCAGTAGACTTTATATAAAGAAAATTATTTGGGGATGATGTGGGTGGGCTTGATCCAACCGGTTAGAAGGCTTTAAGAGGAGAAGAGATTTTCCTAAAAAGGAATGGTGCCTGTGGTGCAGTATCAGGTCCTGCCCAAAGATTTCCATTCTGCCCCTTTAAGAACCACTGAATTTCCATTCTGCCCTTACTGACCTCTTGCCCTACAAATTTTGGATTTGCCTAGCCAGCCCTCACAATCACAGAAGCCAATTCTTTGTGATAAATTTGCCCTCTGACTCCTGACTGATACACACTGTAACCCTCTGACCAGCAAAGTATGCAACTGCCAAGTCGTCATTTACATTATAATGCAAAGTTTTCTTACATAAACAGACTTTTATCTATCATAGAAATAGATCTTTTTTTTAAAAAGATCTGAAAAAAGCACATCTGAAATGATCTTATTTATTTACTTGAGAGACAGAATAAGAAGAGAAAGCTCTCAAGAGCAGGGGCAGAGGGAGAGGGAGAAGCAGACCCAACGAAGAACCCTGGATCATGGACCTGAGCCGAAGGCAGCCTCCCAGGTGCCCTGAAATAGATCTTTATTGGAAAACAAATTTTGATAGAAGTACAATATAAGGATTCCTAGCAGAATGAATAGCATACTGTTTATGTGTGTGCATTTTATACGTTGCAGAAGGAGGTTGGTAAAATTAGATAAGGGATTAAAAAGCATAGAACACCGAAGTCAAATGATTCCAGTTTATTTTGCAATTATGCCTACAGCTCCAGTATATTACTAATATTAAAAGCCATTTTTAAAATGAAATACCTCTAATTCCAGTCAGTAGAATAGCCCTTTAATAAACATCGTGTGGAATCTTGGTAGAGTCCAATACCTAGAGGACAACAAAAGTGACCTTTTAAAATGTAAGTCCAATCAGTCCCCAAGTTTAAAACAGCTAGCCATTGCACTTAAAATAAAATCCAAACTTCTAATCTTGGCCTATATGATTCTACAGCTACCTACCTCTCTAAACTTCCCACATTTTTTTCTCCCTCCCTACATCCTAGATATACTGGCCTTTTCTTTTTCATCCACCATACCACTCTCCTTCCTATGGGCCTTTGGACTTCCTGTTCCCACTATTTGTGCCACTCTTCCTCCAATATTCCAAGGATTGGCTTCCTGGGAAAAATCAAGGAAATATTATCTCCCCAGAAAGGATCACCCTGTGTGGCTGTTTTCCTCATTTTTCTTCCCATAGTCTATCCCTTTGTCATTTTTTCCTTTTTTGGGGTAGGAAGCACATCTGAAATGATCTCATTTATTTCATTTTTTAATCGATATTCATGTATTCCAATAAAACATTAATCTTTCTTTAACCAGCTCTAACTATATACCCAGCAGTGTTATAAGTACTTTACCTGCTATCGACCCATTTAATTTTCACAAGAACTTATAAGGTAGGTCTTATTAGTACTCTAGTTTTATAGACGAAGTGTCTGAGGCTCAGGAAGATGAGGTTGCTTCACGTGCAAAACTGCACCTCACTTACTAGTCCAGGAAAGCAATCTCCAGACCAACTGTTAAGCCATGTAAAGACTAACAGCAGCAGCTCTCCAAGGATGTCAGAAATGCACACTCTCAGGCCTCACCTCTGACCCAATGAATCAGAATGTGCTGTTTAACAAGATCCACAGGTGATTCTTCAGTATAAAATTTGAAAAACACTCATCAACAATGTATCAATTTCTTCTCACCTCTAAAGTAATTCAACACACACACAACTCCCCCAAGCCCAGGAAGCCAGTCACACAACAGAAAAGATTAGTGGTAGTGGAGCGGTCAAAAGGTTTTCCTTTATTGCCGCTACTGCGGCAAGCAGAAATCCCTTTTGTCTGGCAGCCCTAACCCCACCTCATCCCAGTTCACCCCACCTCCTTTTTGAGATCTCCCTCACTAAAGTGGAAGCTAGCCATGCCTAAAGGAGGCAGAGCTTTGGAGACTCTGATGGGAGAAGAGATGGGAGGCAGACGTACACGGGGTGGGGGGAGGAGGGGTGCCCGGGAAGGAAACCATTCGGGTAGCATTCCCTAGCCTCAACAAACCCAGCCTTCTGCCCTTAGGAAAAATGGCGGTCGGCGCAGCTGCACTTCCGGCCACGGAGCCAAACAAAATCAGGCGGAGAAGAAACCGGAAGTGACCGCCCTTTTGACACTCCTCCCACCTCCTCTCCTCTTCCCAGCCTCTCCCGGGAGGATGAAGAGGCTTGGGGGCTGTGGCTGGTTTGCGGTTGCCGGGTGACAAGTCGGAGCCGGGACAGAGTGAGTGCTCGCTGCCTCGGCCAGTGGCCCGTTCACTTCGCTCGGGGTGACCTTTGGGCGGCCAGGGACGGGGGGCGGAGAATCGTGCGCCGGAGCTCTGTGACGAGGCGCCGCCGCGGCTCTGCGGGAACGGAGCTAGCGAGCGGATTTGCGAGCGGGGGCCCTCGGCCAGGTCGGGCCCGCGGAGCTCGCGAGGCCAGAGCCTGGAGCCCGGGATTGGGGAGCCCGGTCTGGGGCTGGCGCTCGCGGGGCGGTGGTGAGGTCCGGTCCCTAGCTCTGCTGGCGGCGTTCCAGCGCCCGGTGTGGAAGGCCTTTCCTGTGGAAGGTAGGTGTTCACACCCGGTAGAACCGGGTCCTTGCCCTCACCCCGCTTTTCCCACGCAGCTCTTTCACTGAGTCATTTCGTGACCCTTCGGAAGGCTTTATGGCCATTCTGCTCCGTTCCACACGCATACATACCGGGACTGGACTAGCATGTAATCGGTTTTGTTTGGTGTCTTTTTCATGGGAACTTGCCAGAAAAGAAAATTTGTTTTAACTTCTATTCTTGGAAGTTCTTGATACTTTGGCTGGTAACGTTAATGATCGCTTTAAGCGTAGCCTGCTTATTTGTTGTGATGAGAACTAATTTTTTTTAAACGTCGGAGTTACTTTATGATACTGGAATTTTGTTTCCTAACTGGTATCCACCTCCACCCCCTATAGCTCCAGGTTGAGAAACTTCTTGTTCCCGAACTTGTTCCATCTCACTAACCCTGTTCTTAAGAGTCACGTGCAGTCACAGTTTGCCACAATTAATTTCATCTTCTCCAAAGGGAAATAAAGGAAAAGTAGAAATTGCAACCAAGATTTTTTCCAATAGTTAATTATTTTAATGGACTATCCACTGAAAAGTCTTTAATAGCTTGTCTAAAACATTTCTCAGGAAAACATTATCCAAAAGTCTCTTGGCAGTTTAGTTTATTTCACTGGGGAGCTAATGCAGTAGGAAGGTGTCATTAATTTGCATGTCTTTATCATATAGTTTAACTTGTGCTTTAATTTTTTCTTTTTAAAGATTTATTTGCTTTAGAGAGAGACAGAGGGAGGGAGTTGCCGGGGGAAACAGGGAGAGAGAGAATCCTAAGCAGACTCTCCCCTGAGCCTGGAGCTTGACCTGGGGCTGGATCTCAGGATCCTGAGAGGACAACCAACTACGCCACCCAGGCACCCCTAATTTGTGCTTTTCTAACTTTAATTTTCTTCCCCCAGTAACACAATGGCAGAAACTGCTTCTCCACTGAAACACTTTGTGCTGGCTAAGAGGGCAATTACTGCAATCTTCGACCAATTACTGGAGTTTGTTACTGAAGGATCCTATTTTGTTGAAGGTTAGTTTCTCTAAGTTTTTAAAATAATATGGTTGAAAGTATATGCAGGTGCTTTGTCCTTTCACCCTTAGTTACTGAACACGTATACAGGGCATTGCTCTATAGTCTAGGAGAAATGCCGTAACAAATGAAACCCATTTCTGCCCTCCAAAGGAAGAAGATTAAGTGGTATTAATAACCTAAGATATAAATAGTTTTATGTATGATACCTGTAAGCACTTTATTATGTTATTAATGCTTTTAATCCTTATATCAACGCTGGGACAGATTTTAATTGCAATTATTGTATTTTTTTTAAAGATTTTATTTATTTGTCAGAGAGAGGGTACAAGCAGGGGGAACAGCAGAGGGAGAAGCAGGGACCCCGGTGTGGGACTTGATCCTGGGACCCTGGGATCATGACCTGAGCCAAAGGCAGACACTTAACTGACTGAGCCACCCACACATCCCTAATCGCAATTATTTTAAAGATGAAGAAACCAAGGCACAGAAAATGTAAGCAACTTGCCCAAGATCACCTTGCTAGTGAATGTCCAGACTAAAAATCAGGCAGCCCACATTTAAGCCATTATATGTATCTCTTCCCACAAGTCAGCTGTCAGCCTAGATCTCAGACCTATCTTATCTTCTCAGATGAGGGTGGACCATGGTGGGGGAAAGAGCAAAAGAAGCTTTCTTAGAGTGAGTATAACTGTTCAAACAGGTTGGTGAGGAATGTCTTACTGGGGAATACTGCTTTGGAGGTAACTGTTGAAATCTTTTCTGGTTCTTAAGATTACATGACTGTCAGGGGTACAATGAAAAAGGAGGGATTCTATATACTTCTTCAGTGACAGTTGGGAAACATTTGGTAGGTTGGTAGAGTCAAACTTTTTTCCTTATCCTTCCTCCCTCACCAGATTTTTAGTTTGAGGATAGCCCCTGTAATTTTTAATAATTTTGGAATTTAGGGGCAGGATTCTTATGACCTGTTGCAACAAGGCATTCACCTTTTACCAAATATTCAGATACTGTGGCATTTTTACTTTTCAAATGGCCATGATAATATAGAGCAAAGCCAAAATATGCAAAATGTGTGCATATCTTAGGTATTCCTTTGTATGATTAACCTAATAATAATTTTTATCACTTTTGCTAACACCATTTCAATTTTGTAGCAACATACAGGAATCCAGAACTTGATCAAGTAGCTACTGAGGATGATCTGATAGAAATACAGGGTTATAGAAACAAGCTTTCCATCATTGGTGAGGTGCTGTCTCGGAGACATATGAAAGTGGCATTTTTTGGCAGGTAATCCTTTATTGTTTCTCTCAAGGGTAGTTTCCAGAAATCAGGTTTTCTAAGTCATATCTCCAGCCTTGTTTCTTATGTTTCAGCAAGTGATATTCCTCCCCCTTTACCCCACAAAGAGTTTCTCCCTTTGCTAAATGCTAAAGCTATTAGCATGAAAAAGCATTTGTTCATTTTAGTTCTTGGTATAAAACGAAGCTTTCTAAAGGTCATTTGTATTTTTACTTTTTAAGGATGCTGATCTCTGAGAATTAGCTTCTTAGCCAGTCCAAAGAATAGAAATACAGATAAATGATATGTGTAACTTGTGACTTTTTAAAGTTTCTCTTAATTATCAGGTGTGCCTTCCAAAAGGATTCTGAGCCCCACGATTCCCAGAGGGAGAGTAGGAAGTGCCATTTGTTAACTATCTCGAGTGATAGAGCAATCTGTGACATAGTTCATGCTCATTAAAGAATAATTTGTTAACTTCCTGTGTAGTGTGCACTCTGTTAGGCAGTAGGAATGCAAAGACAAATGAGTAGGCCCATATCATGTGTTGTGTGTCAACAGAAACATTGATTTACTCACTAAACTAACTTTTAAGCCCATCTTAGAGCTTTTTTTCAAGCACTTGTGAGTTCCTATACTTAGAATTCCCTTTGCCTTGATTTATCTATGTGTGACTCTTTCTCACTGTTCAGATCTCATCCTAAGTGTTACAACCTCAGAAATCTTCTCTGACCGCTGTCTGAAGTATGTCTTCTCAGTTATTCTCTTCTAAAGTGCCCTGTTTGTGCCCTTTAAACCTTTTCCACAGTGCTGTTTTATTTATTTATTTAGGTCCACTTCTGCTTCACCTTATGGGCCTTACAGAATCTAGCATGAGGTAGGTCCATAAATAGGCCCTAATTCAGATTAGGGTGGAGTGGAAATGGAAAGGAAGAGACCTCCTGATGAAGTGATGACTCCGTTGTCCTATTTGAGAAGGAGAGATAGGTAATATCTTTGGAAGTGAAAAAGATCCAGCCCAGATTTACGGAGATGGAGACTTGAGACGATAGTTTGTGATGGGAAGAATTTGCGATTGTGATGTCAAATTGTCACAAGATAAAAAGGCAAGGATAGATATATGAGAAAGGTGGGATTTGTGTTCTTCTATTTTTCTGATATGTACATTCCTAATATTTGTGTAAATCAGGTTGGCAATTTTGTAAAAAATGCAATCTGATGAAATTTCATCAAAGTTTGAATTCTAAAAAGGTTGGTCTTAGACCCAGTGAAAGAATAAAGTTTTTACTGTTAACGTTTTATTTTCATGATTTTATATATCATTCTTCAGGACAAGCAGTGGGAAGAGCTCTGTTATCAATGCAATGTTATGGGATAAAGTCCTCCCTAGTGGGATTGGCCATACAACCAATTGCTTCCTGAGTGTTGAAGGAACTGATGGAGATAAAGCCTATCTTATGACAGAAGGATCAGATGAAAAAAAGAGTGTGAAGGTATAATATTATTAGCATAATGTATCTGAAATAATGTCCTTAACTTTTTTTTTTAATTTGTAAGATGTCTACATTGCTGGACATAAAAGAACTATTAATAGTTCTATTTGTAGCTTTAAAGCCATCACTGATATTTTTGAATTCTCTAAATTTTTTTTGCTTCAGAGCTAAATCATTAGAAGAATAGATCTTAAAGCATACCATATTAGAAGAATATCTTATTAGAAGAATAAAACTTGTCCTTAAAATAAATTAGAGTTAAAAGTTTGTTACATTTTAAAAATAATGTTCCCAGTGAAAACAGCATTACTGAAGTGTATTGTTGCTATTTAATCTCAAATCTAATTTCATCTTTTGAAAGAAAACTTTGTTTAAAAAATGGGGCTCTGGAATGTTTTTGATGCATGTCTGTGCCTTTAGAATCTATTTTATCTTTGGAGTATTTAGTAAGAACATTCATGACTAGATTTAATAGTTTTCAGATAAGGGCCAATGGCAATTCCCTACCTTTCATAAATTTCTTTTTTTTTTTTTTAGATTTTATTTATTTATTTGACAGAGAGAGAAAGAGAGAGAGATCATAAGTAAGCAGAGAGGCAGGCAGAGAAAGAGGGGGAAGCAGGCTCCCTGCCAAACGGAGAGCCCAATGTGGGGCTCTATCACAGGACCCTAAGATCATGACCTGAGCCGAAGGCAGAGGCTTAACCCACTGAGCCACCCAGGCACCCTTTTCATAAATTTCTTAAGGAACCCAGTGCCACTAGGTTCCTTCAGCCAAAAGAGGGGAAAAAAGTGTTTCTCAGTATTATCACTTTCTCTTAAGTCTTAAGATCTCTCCCACAAATGCAGAAGTTCAGTGTTTAAAATCCATCCCATATTAGTTTTTGCAAAACTAAGTTGAATTCACTGGTGTAGTTATTGTTCTGTGAGTTTACTGTTTGATTTAGCTCAGGTAACTCAATCTGCGTAATACCCTTCAGATTAGTTATGGGGAATAAAGGAGGTGATGTTTATGAAAATATTTTCAAATTTTTCACCCATCCAAATGAAGGAATCACTTCTTAATCAGGATTTTTACCAAATCCAAATTCAAACTACTGGTGGCTTTAGATCCTCAGTAAAATGTACTGTGATATTTTAAAGTAATCATCTCTTTCTTGGTCTGTTCTCTCTACGTCCAGTCCACTTCCTTCATGCCCTTTTGCTCCTCTCCCCTACTCCAGAATTTAAATTTGTTTACCTCAAGTTGAGGCCTGCTTTAAGGTATAGACTTTGAGTCTCATGCTGTAGTAGTTTATTTAGTAAAAGAAATGCGACAGTAACAGCTAATATTTCACTGTACACTTACTAAGTACCAGGCAATATTCTAAGTACCTGCAGTAACTCAGACCTCACCACAGCTCTGTCAGATAGGTGCTTTTATTATCTTAATTTTACAGACCAGGCATCGAGATTTTAGTACAAGTTTATAATTCAGTCAGAAAGTTTATGAAAGCAAGCGAAAATAAAACCTAGTTAACATTGTCACTATGGAGATTCACCTCAGCCGTGATCAGGACTGTTGTGCCCATTTGAAAATAGATGTTTCCCTTTAAAAATTGATACCTCCGCATTTCATTTGTATGTGTGCTGGTGTCCTTTCCTTGAATACTAATTTTATATTAAGCTCTTTGTATTGTATATTTAACACATACATGAATAGTATTAAAGTAACACATTAATAAATTAGCATATGTCAGAAATCATCTTGAGAAGTAGAAATATTTTAGGGAATTCAGATGGAAAGAGAAGGCCTAGTCATTGATGTCAATCAAGCAGGTTTATGTGAGTAAATAACTGCCTGGTGAGGAAAATCCTTTATTAAAAGAATATGTCTTGAGCTTCTCTTGTATTGTTTTGGTCTTATTACTCTGGTGCTTTTAAACCTATTTTAGTAATGTTTCTTCTATTTTCGCCCCTTAACTACTGAGCAGTGCGTTTTAGAAGAGACAGAAAATACAAATGGGCAAAAAGAAACTCCAAAACTCACATGTTTCCTAAAGCCAGTGGAAACTTCTTATGGTATAGAATTAAATGTGTTTCTTTGTATTTTGTAAGCAAAATGGTTTCATGTGTGCTATTTGTTTTGACTTGCCTTTTTTTTCTCTTAATATATTGTAGATTTGCTTTCATACATACAATATCAATATCGGGTATTACATAGCATTCCATTGCCAGAGTTCACTTATTGGGCATTTAAAATGTTACTAGCTCTGATTATTTTTGCAGAGTGGATGAGTAAACTGTTTTTAAGAGTATCTTTTTCCCCCCTACTTGGTAATTCTAAAACTCAGTTTCTCAAGATTGCTGAGATAGTTTTATTTCCAGTTATTTAAAGTTTTGCTTTTTTTATAAGTTTTGCAAAAATAAATGTACCAGATCATAGTGTTTTTCATTTTTATTGAGTTTTATTACAAGCAGAGTTTAATTTCTTTCCCTTCCACTTTAGACAGTTAATCAGCTGGCTCATGCCCTTCATATGGACAAAGACTTGAAAGCTGGCTGTCTTGTACATGTATTTTGGCCAAAGGCAAAATGTGCCCTCTTGAGAGATGACCTGGTTTTAGTGGACAGGTAAAATTACATATGAATTGCATTTTCTCCTTGTAAAAGTTTATTTGATAGAATAGTATTGCTTGTTTTAAAGTATAATATATAAAAATTTAAATGTTTAGTTGCTGCTTTGTTTTCACTTGTTAGATTGTTAAGAAACAGAAAAGGTGTTGGTTTATGTTTTTTACTGGTTATATAAAGTGCCAGTTTCTTTGTCTAATTCTATTAGACGAAATTTCAAGGATAGCCACTTTTCTCCCCCCTCTACCTTGTAGTTTGGATAAATAGCTGGGGCTTAGAGATTGCCTAATTCTAAATGACTATGTTAGGTAAAATTTTTTAACTAGTAATACCTCTTTTTTTTTTAAGAATTGAAAGAACACATGCGTAAGGTGTGGGGTGGGGGTGGCAAAGGGAGGGAATTTCAAGCAGACTTCACACTGAAACGTGGTGTCTAATGCAGGACTGTCACCACCCTGAGATCACAACCTGAGCTAAAACCAGTAGTCCAACGCTTAACTGACTGAGTCACCCAGGCATAATAAATTTATGCTTAAGGCCCAAGTTTCCCAGAATAACTTAATGGACAGTTTACATAGATTTTTTATTGTTCAGGAATTAATTGAATACTTCTGGAATTTTGTTTCAACTCTTCTGATGAGTCTTCATTTATTATATGTTCTTTTACTATATTGGTGCTAAGTAAAATGCTAATGCACATCTGCTAAGCGATGTCCTTAACTAAAAAAAGTAGTTAAATGATTTTTCAAAATTTTGGTATGCTCTTTTGTTTTCTTTAAAATTTCAGTGTTGTGTGGAAACCATTTTGGTTTTGGCGATGGGCTTTTAATTTTGCTTTATTTCATGGCCAGACTATGTCCATGACCCCAACCTCTCATCTTTCTACATTGTCACAGTGTGTAGATAGTTGCATTATAATTTTTATAGTATAGTATATTAAACTTAGGTTTTAGCAGAGGGTGTTTTATTATTTATGCTCATGAGCACTTAAATATTTTCTCAGCTGTACTGGACATAGCTACTTACACCTTTGATTTTGGTATATATTAGCCCTTTTTGTGGGGGGAGGTTTGGGGTTTTTTTTAGCACTTACTTTTCATCCTTCCAAACCATAAGGATTTAAAAGATTAAAATATTGACTGTGTTTCTTACTTTGTCAAAAATCAGAAGGATATTTGTTTTTATCTTAAAGATTTACTTATTAGAGCGAGTGCTCCCCCCCTCGCACAAGGAGGGGGGAGGGGCAGAGGGAGTGGGAGAAGCAGGCTCCCCACTGAGCAGGGATCCAGTGACTTGGGCTCCATCCCAGGATCCTGGGATCGTGACCTAGGCTGATGGTAGACTGTAACTGAGCCATCCAGGTGCCCAAGGTTATTTCTTTTTAGTAAACAACCTTTTTTTTTTTTTTTTTTTTTTTTAAGCATTTGTTAAGTTTTCAATTGAATAGGCTCTGGGAGTTCTTTGTCAGCAGAATAGATATGGAAGTTTATAAAACACAGACTCAGCTTGTCACAAGTGCTTTTTTATAGGTGGAAAAAGTAAATCTCTTAGGCTTTGTGCTGAAAACTGGTGGAAATCCTGGCCTTTAGACTTCAATTTATAAAAGCTTTATAAAATGTCTTTTATAATCAAATTTTCTTTTTTAAAAAATATAAAATACAATATTATCTTATTCCCATTAGTCCCGGTACAGATGTCACTACAGAGCTGGATAGCTGGATTGATAAGTTTTGCTTAGATGCTGATGTCTTCGTTTTGGTAGCAAACTCTGAATCAACTCTAATGAACACGGTAGGTTTAATCATATTATTATGTGTGAGTGGTAGGAAATGAGATAGTGTCTTTTCTGAAGAGTGAGGGAAATCCAAATCATGGATTAAAAACAACCTCTAATATCAAGGGTGAACAGAGGAATTTGTGTTTCCATGGGACCGGAAAAGCTGATGCTGGCCTTCTTGAGTGTTCCTATTGGGAATCTAGGGTTTGATGGCTCTGGCTTCTAGTGAATCTTTAATTAAATGCAAGGTGTGATATGTATGTGGTGTTGACATTGATCGTGGTTATTTGCCAGTTTCAGAAGGAATGGGCACCAGATTGTCAGGGTGATGATTTCAGTCTTTTGAATAAAGTTTAACACTCCCATCTCACACCCTTCCCCCAGTCCCCACATCTGGCAGGCAAGGCTTTTCATACTTCTAGTTTTGTCAATCCTTCCCAGCTTTACTTGTGTGTACTCTAGGTTCTGGCTTACCTGTGCCCATTATATGCCGCTGTCAGATTTAATAGATTAGATTATTTATCCAGGCTGTCTAGAGCCATACTCATCCCAGATAAATTCCAGAGTTTATAGATATCTAATATCCAAAACTATAGTATGGTTTTTAAAAATTGTCATTCCTCAAAAGCATATAAATAGCCAAACACCATTATAACCTAGGTGTTACCAGCAAGACCTCTGGTTTGCCACTGGTACTAGCTTTTGTATAACCTGATCTATATCACATGGAACAGGCTGCTAAGACAACATGGACAGTTGTTTATAATCTCATGATATGAGAAACAGATAAATGCTTAAAATCTTTGTTAGAATAACCCCATTTGAATTACATTCTGACTTCTGTGTCTTTGTTTATGCTATTCTTTGCCCACAATTCTTCCTCCACTCCCAGCTTCTCTTTCAGAAAGCCATTATCAGTACTTCTAAGCACATCTTTATCATCACTCCCTTCTTTATGGAGCTTTTCCTAATTCCAACTGGATATGGTGTCTCTTTCCTTTAAATAAGCATAGTATGTATTTATAGCATTTAAGGCACATACCTTTCTCTGTTATTATTATGTGCATAGGTCTTACATTGTTATTCTAAATCTTCAAAAAGATTTGAGGTAGCTTTTTGAAAATGTGGACTATAATATCCAGCAGTATCTGTTATGCTCTGCACAATAGTAGAGACATAGATATTTATTAAATTGAATTTCAGAAAAGATTCATGGCAGGAGCAGGAAAATCTTCACTCTTGCCATCTTACAATTTAGTTTTCTCATCTTGGAGAAGTGTAATGTTCAGTGATTTGGGATCCTTTATCAGTGGGTATGAATCCACTGTTGTCTTAATGGTTCAAACTTTAAGATTAGAAGAACTTCAACTATAAATGTAAATATAAAATAGCTGTTAAAAGTAAACATATCTTGGGTGTTTGATGTTTTTTTAGGAAAAGCAGTTTTTTCACAAGGTAAATGAACGACTTTCCAAGCCTAATATTTTCATTTTGAATAATCGTTGGGATGCCTCTGCGTCAGAGCCAGAGTATATGGAAGACGTAAGTTATTTTTTCTTCTAAGTTATGAGCTGTAGTCATGTACATTGTTATTTGAGAAAACAGTATACATTATAGAACATCCTACGTAGCTGTTCTTTTACTTGAGAAAAGACTTAGTGATCGAGACCAGAATATTAAACTACTTTGGAGGAAAATTGTTATAAAGTGTACTATCTAATCATTTTAGATAATGAAACTTTGTTTTGTTGTAGTTTTTTTGAAATATAGCATAACAAAAAAGTGTGTAGATCCTAAGTGTCCATTTCGGTGAATTTTACAAATTGAACACATCTGTATCAGGATCCAGCTCAAGAAGCAGAACATTGCCAGCACCCACCTCCAGTCTCTGTCCTCTCTCGTAAGAATGAGCACTTACATAACTTCTGACATCCTTGATTAGTTTTTTGGTTGTTCAACTTTATGTAATGGAATCATATAGTATCTGCTATGTGTCAGGTTTCTTCTGCTCAACATTACGTTTGTGATTGCATCCATACTCTTGTGCATAGTTGAAGTGCAGTGTCATTACTGTATAGTATTTCAGCCTTTGAATATCTACATTTGATTTATTCATTCTGCTAGTGACGGGCATTTGGGTAAACTTCCTGTATTTAGCTGTTATAAGTAGTGCTGCTCTACATATTCTTACATGTGTGTCTTTGGTGCACATAGGTATATATTTCTGTTGGGTATATTCCAGTGCTTCTCAGTCTGAGGGGTTGGGCAGTTTTGATCTCTAGGGAATATTGGGCCATGTCTGAAGATACTTTTGATTGATACAGCTCTGGGAGTGTGCTACTGGCATCTGTTGGGTAGAGGCTAAGAGCTGTTAAAAGTCCCGTAACAGAACAATCCTCCCAACCAAAAATTTATCTGACTCAAAATGTCAGTACTGCAGAGATCAGTAATTTGTGAGTATATATCTAGGAGTAGAATTGCTGGATTATAGGTAGAGAATATGCTGCTTCAGTAAACACAGCCCAAGAGTTTTCTAAAATGCTTGTACCAGTCTATACTCCCAAGCAGATTAAGAGTTCCAAGTGATTTATATATCCTTACCAACAGTTGTATTTTTTTGTTGTTTTAAATTTTGGTCATGCTGGTGGTTTTAGAAACTTTTTTTTTTAAGATTGAATTTATTTGTCAGAGAGAGAGAGAGTAAGCACAAGCAGCAGGAGTGGCAGGCAGAAGGAGAAGTAGGCTCCCTGCAGAGCAAGGAGTCCAATATGGGACCCCATCCCAGGACTCTGGGAACATAACCTGAGCCAAAAGCAAATGCTTAACCGACTGAGCCACCCAGGCGTCCCTAGAAACTTCTTTTTAAAAAGAATAGAGTATCTGGAATTTGGTCTGTGGTCTATAAATAATATTTAATTTGCCTGATAATTTCTTTTTCTGATTTTAATCATGATTTGTGTTTACTTACAAAAAATTAAAATTTACACAATCCCATCACTGTTTACATGTTTGATTATGTGTTTTCATTCTTTCCCCTACCCCCAGAATTATAATTTTGTTTAATATGAAGCTTTATATATTCTGCTATTATTAACTCATGTGGTTATACTTTTGCAAATTGGGGTCTCATTTAATCATCAGAGATTTAAGAAATATCATCCACAGATTGTTTTTTTCCATTCTTATTTAGCTTAGACCCCTTATCTTAGGCACAATGCTAGAGGCTAGTAATATACCCTAACTAGTTTTACTCTTAGTCTTATTTTTTTCTTTAATTTTTAATGTTTTTAAAAGTTTTAAGTAATCTCTGTACCCCACATGGGGCTCAAACTCACAACCCCAAGATCAAGTCACATACTGTACTGACTGAACCAGCCAGGCACCCCTCTTAATCCTAATTTTAATACCTAAGTGCTAATCTTAAACCTAACATTGCAACCCTAATCCCTAGCTAATGCGTTCTCCCCAAATTTAATTCTCAGTGTTTTAAGAAAGATAGACTATTTGGGATGCCTGGGTGGCTCACTTGGTTAAGCGACTGCCTACAGCTCAGGCCATGTCCCCCATGGAGCTCCCTGCTCAGCAGAGAGTCTGCTTCTCCCTCTGACCCCCCCACCATGCTCTCTCTCTCTCATATAAATAAATAAAATCTTTAAAAAACAATCACTGAAAGAAAAACAGACTATGTTCTGATTTTGCAATAAAAATAGCTTCACTGTAGCAAATTATTTGTAGCATTTATTTTCTGATATCAAAGATATTAATAGCTTCATTGTAAGAAAATTTGGAAAACAAGCATAAGAAGGAAATAAAAATGTCCCACCTGCTTTGTGGTTGTTGCCTTCATGCCAACTATTAATTTTCACAAATGTATAGATACATATTTCTTTTTTGTAGTATAGTCATGTATGTCAATAATACAGAAATAAGAACATTTTCCCATGGCAGTAAGTATTAGTATTTGTCAATACTATGTTTGGAAATGGCGTCATGGTATTTGGTGGTCCATCAGAATTTTAAGTGGTCAAAGAAGGATCATTACTCTAAAAGAAAATATTCTGTCAGCAAGTATCAAACTTCATTTATTAGAATTTTTGGATTTGTTAAGTATATGGGAGATACTACTATAATATCACTATAAATGGAGTTTAAAAAGGCCTGTAGCAGTCATTACATTTGTTTAATTGTTAGAATTACTTCGGTACCCTGTTTTCTCTAGGTACGCAGACAGCACATGGAAAGATGTCTGCATTTCTTGGTGGAGGAGCTTAAAGTTGTGGATCCTTTAGAGGCACAGAATCGTATTTTCTTTGTTTCTGCAAAGGAAGTTCTTAGTGCTAGAAAGCACAAAGCACAGGGAATGCCAGAAGGTGGTACGTATTAATATAGATTGTCTTTTGAAATGCAAGAATAGTTGTAGAAATAACATGCTATAAATCTTACTTTGCTGTATCCTAGGTTTTAAACTCTTCACCTAAATATTACAGGTGGGGCACTTGCTGAAGGATTCCAGGCGAGATTACAGGAGTTTCAGAATTTTGAACAAATCTTCGAGGTAGGAATTTTGTGTATGTATTGACTAATATAAAACCCTATCATTGGTTGGAGAATGATCATAATCCTCTGTTTCCTCTATTTATCTTTGTCAAATAACCTTTGCTTGCTGTTATTTAGTATAGTTACTGCTACAGCAAGTGAAAGAAGTTTGAAGAAAGGAAGTCCCTGCAAAATCTGTAAGAATTGAGAATTAAAGATTGTAATTTCTCATTTTTTCTTATATGGTAATATTCAAACAGGAAACTGTTTTTCTAATATTGCATGTGTTGTGCAATGAGTGAAATTCTTTTTATTCAGTAATTTGAGGCAAGATTAAATAAATGTAATTGCTATTGGAATGGGTAAGGAGCAAAGTGAAGATCATGTTTTTCTTTTGTACCATACTACTGATAGATATAGAATGTAAATGTCATTTGACTGAAGTTTATTACATTTTAAGCTGTGTCACTACCTGCTTATCCTCCACATTTTATATCAAATGTCCTAAACAAATGAGTACAAAAATAATTAGGATACAGGGTATTCTGTAGTATAGGAATCTGGTAGGAACTACTGGGCACACGAATAGCTAATGTATTTGCAGCATTGGGAAGGAAGGACACTTTCTTATATTTTGGTGTAGGCATTTTATTCAGAGACATTAAAACTCATCCTACATTTAATTGAAAAAAGTTCTTTAGATGTTAATTTCCAAGCTCTTATTTAGCCCTTTTTAATCTAGCTCTGTTTAGATTACATATCCCCTTTTCACCCATGTATGAACATGAAGACTTCAGAACTAAGAAAAACTTCTTTTGTAATTCTTCCTTTAAGTCATAACAGCTTTAATAGCAAGGACATGAATGTTGAATGTACTTGGCAGAATTTTTTAAATTAAACATTTGGTCACTATCCCCCATCTTTAATTTGGTGAGTTGGAGCTAGACTATTAAGTAGATGAAGACAGAATATGTAAAGAAGGAAAGTCCACACTAGTGGAGATCTTGGTAAGATGTCTCTAAAGTCAAAGCTCCTGGGATGTTAGCATACGTCATCCCAAGCTAAATCATAGATTGCATGAATTCCCAGTCACTCCAAGACCATTGTTTATATTCTTTCCTTTTTCTTTCACAAGATTCAGTGCTCTCCTCACCTTTCTCAAAAATTTCATCCATGGGAAAAATATTGGGGAGAGGATCTATTGTTCTGTCTCCCTTTGTCTTACTTATTGACCTTCCTTTCCTTCTATGTGTATTAGATATTTGTCACTGATTTCTCCTACTAAATCATATTGTTCTCGTATGCATTTATAACCTCTTTCATTGGTTCCTGCTACCCAGACAGAGTATCTCCTTGAAGAAGTGGGAATGAGAAGAATAAAAAGCTATGCTGTAGAGCACTGGTTCCCAAACCTTGGCTGATCATGAGAATCACATGAGGTGCTTTAGAGAACTGCCTGAATTATCCCAGAGGACGATCCAATGGGTCATGGGATGGACCTAAAAATACGTATATATTCAAAGCTCCCCAAGTGAGGGCAATAATCAGGCAGACCTAGGAATTACTGTTTTTAATGTTTTTAGAAGAAATTTGGCAGTTTTTTATTGTAATAGTTCATTTGGGAATCTAAAAATTATGTATAGAAAAAACCATGTGCAAGAGCTTTACATAAAGTCATAGAGAATATCAGACCTTAGAATTTGAAATGTTTGTTCAATTAAAAGTATGATAGATTTAATATAAGAATCAGCTAGAAATTATTTGAACTTACCTAAAGAAATAACTAGATGGGCAAAAAGTCTTGTCTTGGTGGAAAGCATTTTTTGATGATTATTCTTTTCAGCTTTTTTCCCAGAGTGAAATTAGTTCCTTCTTAAATCAATTTTCATAATTTAAGACTTCTATAAATTGGGGCATTTTTAAGAATTTATAATTTAGTAGGATAAAATTGTTCATTTTTAAAACTTCTGTGTTTTTTCTCATATCTATTTAGACATACGTACATGTATAAACATATGTATATATTCTATTTTTTTCTTTTTTCCTTTTTTTAAAGATTTTTATTTATGTATTTGACAGAGACACAGTGAGAGAGGGAACACAAGCAGGGGGTACTGGGAGAGGGAGAAGCAGGCCTCCCGCCGAGCAGGGAGCCCGATGCAGGGCTTGATCCCAGGACCCTGGAATCATGACTTGAGCCCAAGGCAGATGCTCAATACCTGAGCCACCCAGGTGCCCCCACATGTATATAGTCTAACCTTAATTGGATTTCCCAGTGATTTAATTGCTCTGCTTTATCCTCCAAAGACCTAGTCCCAGCTTTTGGTTAATTTTTCCATTTATAAGTAGCAGTTTTTGGTTTTTATTCATTAAATTCAGTGTTAATCTTTAAACATAGTTTTTCCTTTTTTTATACTTTTTTTTAAGTGGAATTGTCATTTTGCTTTTTTTCTTTAGGGAAGAATTTAGGGCTGTGAATTTGTGATGTAACTTTGGACCTATACCACGGGCTTCAGTATCCAGTTTAGTTTTCATTGTTTTTAATAGTTTTTAATTACAGTTGTTGGCATTTTCTGTTCAATACAGGAGTTGCTAAGAATCAGATGTTTTGATTCTTTTCATCCAACTTTTGGTTATTTATTTCTTGGTTTCTTTGTATTGTGATCACAAAATGTGTCTTACATATGTAATTTCTCTTTGTTTTTAGAATTCACTTTTTTTGGAGTCTTAGAAAATGATTTTTGTGAAAAAAAAATTGTACCAAGTTTACCATTTTTAATGGTCTGATATTTGCCATAGACTTTCTGGGTTTCATTTGGTTCTTGAGGAGCAAAACATTATAGGAACATTTGGAGTATCAAGTTAAAATAAGGCTTGAAAATTAAATCCATTAAAATCAATCAAAATCGGTGTTAATTCTGTCAGCATGTTTCTTATTATTTTAAACCTGTATTTGAACAAGTGTATATTCTAAAGATAATTTAGAAATCTAAATACCTTTGCTCAAATATTTGGCCATTAGCTGTTCTTAATAGTTTTGATTATAAGATGGAAAACAGGTATAAAATAATTCTACTCTAAAATGTCAGTGAATTTGTTATAAAGGACATTCTGGGACAACTGGTGAAATCTGAAAATGGACTGTGTGTTAGGTTAATAGTATTTACTGTCCCAGTGAATGCAGTGATTGTTTCTTGGTCGTATAGGAAAATGATCCCATTCCTAAGAACACATGTTAATATATTTAGTAGTGAAGTTGTGGTGTCTGCAAAGAAGTGTCAGATTGTTCAACAGGAGAAAAATATAAAAATATATGTCTGTCTCTCTATATAGATATATCTGTATGGAGAGGGAGACAGATGGGAGAGGTATATTGTATAGTAGTATTTTTTCTTGCACTGCCCTTTCAATTTAAAATCTTTAAAAATAGGGGCGCCTGGGTGGCTCAGTGGGTTAAGCCTCTGCCTTCTGCTCATTTCATGGTCTCAGGGTCCTGGGATCAAGCCCCGCCCGCAACGGCCTCTCTGCTCAGCGGGGAGCCTGCTTCCCCCTGTCTCTCTTCTGCCTCTCTGCCTACTTGTGATCTCTCTCTGTCTGTCTCAAATAAATAAATAATTATTTTTAAAAATCTTTAAAAATAAGTTGGGAGTGATGAATAGCATGTTATTGGGTGTTTGGGGTCTGTTAAGAGGATTTGACAAAGTCACTTTATGTCTTAATTATATATAAGTATTAATATCTACAAATCTATGACTGTAATTAACTACCAGCTAGCTTCTTGAGATATTATTAGAAAGTTAGAAAACAAACAAACAAAAAAAGTAAGTTAGAAAACTATCTTAACTGAGATACAATTGGGATTTAAAATGGTTTGGTGTAGTATTTTAACCTTCTTGGAAAATTAGAGTTCCTGATAAAGTAAGTCTGGAAGCTGCTGCTCACTATGTATGTTCCCTGTGGGGATTCATAAGCTTATTAGTGTAGTGAGAGTTCTGAGAAATAATGCAATTTTAAAAACCCATATTTAAATTAACATTTCTCACACCTCAGAATAGAGTATTTCTTTTGCAGGTTGACTTGATATTTTTGTGATCAGTGGGAATATCCGTGTCGGATACCCATTTCTAAACTAGAAGGAGTTTATGTTTATTATTTTAACTAGTTAGTTATATTAACTAGAAGTAGTTTATGTCTCTTTGTTAATTCATGACGTTATTATATATTTTTAAAATCAAGGAATGACTTTTATATTGCCTAATAAATTTTGAAAATATTTTCTTTCTGGTCTAGCTCTAATACTGTGCTGTTACCTATAAATTTAGGTCTTCATTGCTGATATCTAGATCTGCTTCATCGAGGAATATAGGATTTCTTTTAACCTTTTTTTCTTTTCAAAATATTTTTATGCTTTTATTGTTTTTATGGAGGTTAATTTGTCATTTTATGAGATGCAGTTATTTAAAGAAAATCAGAGCTTTGTTTTGGTTGTTAAAAATAAGCAGTTTAACTGTTTAATATTGTGTACTTATTGGTAGTTTTTCTATAGGCACATACAGAACGGGAATACCATAACTTTCTACAACTAATCTTTTCAGGATTAGTGATGTTGAGTGATGTATAAATAAGTTTAACCATGAACAGAAGTTAGGCTATCCAGTGAAAGAAAGTCATGGGTTTAAGTTAAGGTTTTATAAATTGTTAAGTAAATGAATTACCCTCAATGTCCTATAGCTAAAGAAGTGAATCTGTTTTTATTTCATACCTCGTAGTACCAAAGAGGACAGCTAAAATGGCAAAAGAAATTATAAAAGTTTTTTCTATCTTAGTGAATTGAATAGGTAATCATTTTAGAGATGTGAAGGCTCTAGGTTATAAATAGTGTATTGAATGAATGTAACATACTAGTGCTTTCAAGATAAATACTTTGGTATTAAGTGAATACTTTTTAAAGCTTGAAAGCTGTTTATTGTGATGAAGGATAGTTAACACAATTTATACTGGTTACAGTTAAAAGAGGTTCAAGAAGATGAATTCATGGAAATCATGGAAGTTGGGGTATATTCCTAATTTTTAAAAAAAATCATCATAGGGAATAAATGTGACTTCCTACGAAAAACCTATTGTAGTTATTGCTGCTGTGATCCAGACAAGCGATTGTTCAAAGACCAGATGACCTTCTTCTGTAAACACTTGTAGTTGTTTTTAGATGTTATGTCAGTGCAGAATTTAACTTTCTATGAAGTAAGAATGAAAGAGTTTTAATATAATTTTGTGAGCTTTCAATGATGAATTCACAGTAAATATTTTGGATAACAAATAGTATTTAGATGTATTGAAATTGAAACAAGTTCTATAGTATAAATGTGTCCATTACTATATGTGATGCATTCTCCCGTATTCTATTTAAAAACAAAAAACAAACAAACAAAAAAAACACTGGTCATGAAACCTGATTTGTACAGCTGTGAATGGTTTATGAGCTACAATTAGCTTAAAGATGAAACAAATGAGATAGGACATCATTTGAACCTGTTTGCACAAACTATAGAGCAAGGACAATAACAGGATTATCTTTGAAATAGCTGTAGGTATTTTTAAACAATATATTATCTCGGTTGCTTGTTGCTAACCTGTTTTTCAAGTTCAAGTTTTAATACAAGTCCTAATTTCTAATAACTATGTTCTATCATCAACTCATTTCTTAAAATGTGGAATTCTACATAACTCAGTTAAGAACTTCATTAGGTTATCTATTGTAAGCATGAGAAAAATCAAAACAGACTAGAAATAGATTAAAGGCAATTCCAATAAAGTTAGTAATTTTAATGGAGAAAACTTTAACATTGACAACAGTACCCTGCTTATTCATTTATTTTTTAAAATATAGTCAAAAAACCATTGCACATTACTGTGTAAAATTACACAAAGATATGAACTTGCTGTTAATGCCCTTTTTACTTTTGATTTCTTGTAGGTTTTTTAACTTTTGTTATTTTAAGTTCTTTTTATCATGCATTTATTTTCTGCCCTTACTTATGTTTTGGTTATCATTACAAACAGCAAGTTTTTGTGTTTAAATTCCTGAAAATATTGGGATGGAATTACAGTAATGTGTTATGGCTTGGGCCCTCGCAGGAGTGTATCTCGCAGTCAGCAGTGAAAACAAAGTTTGAACAGCACACTATCAGAGCTAAACAGATACTAGATACTGTGAAAAACATAATGGATTCAGTAAACGTGGCAGCAGCAGAGAAAAGGTATGAATTCATTTTATTGCAAAATAAAAATGTCAGTTCATGTCAATATAAATTTTTAGACTAAGGTTTTAAATTGTTATATTTTAAATACTTTAGCACTTAAGTCAGCAACCTACTTGCATGTTTTTAAATGAATATTTGAAATTGTAAATATTTATTTTACAACCTTAACATCATTTACATTTCCTGGAACCCATTATTCTCGAGTTATGATTTTGACGTGCTTCATAGTTTTAAAATATCTTTAAGGCAATGGAAGAACAAGTGGAATTTTTTGAAGAAATACAAAAAGCAGGTGGACCTCTTTTTATATTCAACCTATGACCCATTTTTCATGTTTTATACATTGATACCTAGAAATCTCTCTTTGATGCCAGTTGTGGTTTTTTATCAACTGGTAAACAAGGTGATATTACCTGCCAGCCAGAAGGTCAATTTGGTAAGCACTACCCTATATGTCATTGTACTGCACTGTTACTGCATTTATGACATTATAAAGATGAAAGTAAATTCATGAAATTGCTAACACTGAGGAAAGGGCTAGTTCTCACAAACTCGGTACACTTGAAACAAAGCTGAGGTTATTAGATGTGATACAGGTATTAGATGTGACACGGGATGTTAAGCCTTAATTGAACAGTTAGTGGGCTTAAGCCAATCAAGGGAAAGATACAAAGCATCAGAGATTAAGAGGACATTAAATTGGGAATTTTAAATGCATCTGATCTTACTGGGAACAAATACACCTAAATCTATTGCTTAATTATGACACTTCTCCTGGAATGCATCATATACAAAATTAGAGAATTTCTAATAAATGAAACACAAGAGTGAGAACTCAAAGAGTCTGATCTCAGGCCCTGTGCATTGTTTCTGTATGAGATGATTTTGTCATTTATGCCTCTTTCAGCTCAGTTGTTTTATCATAGTAGCCAGAGTGACTATTTGGTCCACTGGTTGACCTTAATGTTACTGATTTTAAAAATACAGGACATTAAACTAAACACAGCACAAAGAAGATGTGATTTGAGAATGGTTTATATAATCATGTCTTGGGGACTCTCTTAGCTGAAGATAATTTTTAAAATGCTCAGGTCTTTGTTTTCCTATATCCTATAGTGGTTGACAGATTTTCTATAAAAGCTAGATAGTAGATATTTTAGGCTTTATGAGTTGTACTTTCTCTTTTGCAACTAGTCCGTTCTGCAGTTTTAGGGCAAAGGTAGCCATACAGTCATGATAGGCATATGAGGCATATGAATGGTCATGGCATGGCACAAACTAGCAGCTGGCTGGATTTGGCTTTCAGGATGCCATTTGCTGACCCTGTTTTTTAAATGAAGTCATTATTTTTATTGTGACTGTTCATATCTGTGTTTGGAGAGTCCTTATTCTTTGGGATTTGGATGCCACATGCACAGACAGACAAAGTAGTTTATATTCGATCCTCTAGAAAATACTTCGTAAATGAAATATTATTTGAATCATTTTAGATGTGAAATGTAAGTTTTGGGGTTTTTTGCCACTGTATCATGCTAGCAGATGGTTCATTACCTAAGTGAATGTCCTAGCTTAATTGCTTTGGGACTTTAGTATTTCCTGAGAATTAATTATTCTACCTACTACAATAGGGTTTATTCAATGGAAGAGAGGGAAGATCAAATTGATAGACTGGACTTTATCCGAAACCAGATGAATCTTTTAACACTGGATGTTAAGAAAAAAATCAGGGCAGTTACAGAAGAGGTGGCAAACAAGGTGAGTTGGTGATTTTATGACTACGGTTTCTGGGAATGGAGAGACTGGCTTAATCAGTAGAGTGTGCCACTCTTGATCTTGGGTTTGTGAGTTCAAGCCCCACGTTGGGTGTAGGATTACTTAAAAATAAAATCTTTAAATAAAATAAATTTCTGGAAATGAAAATATTTTTGATAATCCTAAAAATGTTATCACCGTTACCCTAAAGGCACATTTGATTAAGTTTTTTACAGTTTGACTGACTGGTTGATAATCTTGGTTAATTTTTTTTAACTTCATATTTTCAGGTTTCCTGTGCAATGACAGATGAAATTTGTCGACTCTCCATTTTAGTTGATGAATTTTGTTCTGAGTTTCATCCTACTCCAAGTGTGTTGAAAGTATATAAAAATGTAAGTTAAATTATTGTTAAAAGTTACTCGGTTTCCTCACCTTATTCTACATTTTTATTTAGTGGATTAGCCATTTTAATGTCTTCCTGGCAATCAGTACATAATTGAACTTTTCTATCCCCTGTGCACTCTTGTAATAAATGTAAACTATCTTATATATAAAGTACCCAAAAACATCCTCTTAAAATAAGATCATTTACTACACTTAAGTTTTTGCAAAATCTGTACATGTTCTAGAGAAAAAATAATGGGCACATGTACCATGTTAACAGGAGTTAAATAAGCACATAGAAGATGGTATGGGAAGAAATTTGGCGGATCGGTGTACCAATGAAGTCAATGCTTCAATGCTTCAGTCCCAGCAAGAAATTATTGGTAATGTTTATGTCTATAAGTTCATGTGTAGTTTATTTATTTCATTGGGAAAGGACTTAGTTTCCTTGAAGTGTTTTATAAAATGTAAAATATTATTTACTCTTGTTTCTTAAATACCATAATTTTGTTTTATCTAGAAAATTTGAAGCCATTACTTCCAACTGGTATACAAAATAAACTACATACACTGATTCCTTGCAAGAAATTTGATCTCAGCTATGACCTAAATTGCCACAAGTTATGTTCAGATTTTCAAGAGGATATTGTATTTCGTTTTTCCCTGGGCTGGTCTTCCCTTGTCCATCGTTTCTTGGGCCCAGTGAATGCTCAGAGGGTGTTGCTAGGATTATCAGAACCCATCTTCCAGGTATCTTTTTCTTTTTGAGTAAGCTTTTGATTTTGTTGTTGCTCTACTACACAGTTATTTATCTTTGATTCTACCAGTTGAGATTCTTGCTCTTTTTTTAAAAATATTTCTACTTTATGTGATTTCTCTAATACAACTAGTTATGTTCAGTTTGCATAGTTATGAGCTAATACCAGTCACATAGAGCCATTTCTGAATTAGTTATACTGTGCAAAGGGAAAGGCAGTTCCAGCATTTTCATTCAGTACTGTTGTAGTTGTTCCACATTCATTTTTGAAACAGTTTTTTCCTTAAGAGTTTTTGTTTTCAAATAAAATTGAAGTTTTGACTTCAACTAGAGTAAATGCAAGCATTTAGAAAAAAAAAAAACTTTGACTTTATCAATTCAGTACTTTTTCAGAAAATCAGTGGAGTTTTAAAACCATCACCACAATCCAGTTTTAGAACTTATCACCCCAAAATGGTACCCTTGTGCCCATTTGCAGGTGATCATTCTCACCTCCAGCCCTATTGCTAGTTAGCTTATTTAACTGTCATATTTTTCCCTTTCTGGACATTTCCTGTAAATGGAATAATAAAAAATGTGCCCTTCTGTCCCTGGGGCATCTTTCACTTAGCAGAGTATTGTCAAGGTTCATCATGATGGTACATGAATGTTGTAGCATATACCAGTACTCCATTTTTTATAGGTGAATAATACTCCATTATAGATTATCACATATTTTATTTAGTTGATGGGCACTGAAGTTGTTTGTACTTTTCTGGCAATTATGAATGATGCTGCTATGAACACTCATGTACTATTTTTATGTGGACATTTGTTTTCATTTCTCTTGAGTATATACCTAGGAATGAAATTGCTGGGCCATGCGGTAACTCCATGTTTAACTTTCTGAGGAACTGCCAAACTGTTTTCCAAAGCAGCTACACCATTTTACATTCCCACCAGCAGTATATTAAGGTTCTGTTTCTCAACATTCCATCAAGACTTGTTATTGTCTGTCTTTTTTATTAGTGGATGTGAAGGGGTATCTCATGTAGTTTCAGTTTGTGTTTCCCTAATGACTAATGATTTTGAACATCTTTCATGTGCTTGTATTGGCCATTTGTGTATCTTGTGAAATGTCTATTCAGATTATTTACCCATTTTTTAATTGGATTATTTGGCTTCTTATTGTAGAAGTTCTTTATATATTCTCTAGATGGAAGTCCTTTGTCAGATACATGATTTCAGAGTATGTTTTTCTGGTCTATGGCTTGTCTTTTAATTTTCGTATAGTGTATTTTGAAGTGTAGAAGATTTTAATTTTTAAGTAATTAAAAAAATTTTTTTCTAAGGTTGTGTCTTTGGTGTGAGAGTGTTAAAATACAGTTTTAATTCCACTTGAGAGTTGAGGGCCTACTGTTAAAGGTAGAATCATATAGTATAAAAATTCAGTATTGGTCATAGAAAATAATTTTGAGACTTTTTATTTTCTTCATATATTTATGGTAAACTCATTATTTGACTCATTCTTTTTATAGATTTACTACTGTAATTATACAAGAAATAAAACAGAACTTTATAAATGTAACTATTCCATTTGTAGTTGTTTAATTATAATAATCCTTTTTCCCCAACCTTATCAGCTTCCCAGATCTTTAGCTTCTACTCCCACTGCTCCAACCAATCCAGCAACTCCAGACAGTGCATCACAGGAAGAACTCATGGTCACCTTAATAACAGGATTAGCTTCTCTCACATCTAGAACTTCTATGGGCATCATAGTTGTTGGAGGAGTGGTAAGAAGTTCTTTTTAGTATAATTAAAATTGGAGTTTTGCAAAACTGCTAGACACGAAAAGAAAGGTATATTTACTTTTATTTCCAGGATAATCTGTAAAATGACATGAAAAATTGTTGGCTAAAATTAGTGAATAAAGATGAGTTTCACAGGTCTAATCTTAAGTTTTTAAAAATGCAGACTTATTTATTTTTAAATTGAGGTATAGTTGACATAATATTGTATTAGTTCTAGGCATACAAGATAATGATTTGATGTATATATATTGCAAAATGATTACCACAGTATACATTTTTAACAAATACCTCTTTAGGAAAAAAAAAATACCACCAACTAGCTAGTCCTTAAAACAATGCTTCCTATTTTCACTTCATAGCACATAAATGATATTTATAATTTGGAGTAACAAGAATGATTCAGGTCCCTTATGTAGACTTCTCTGAATACCAGAGGGATCTGCCTTAAAGTATTCAAGATTATTTTTTAGTTGTAGTTCTTTTAAACTGTTAAAAATTTTTTCACATCATTAACAACATAGGTTTGTTTTGGTTTTTAAAATCTCTGACCTCGGGCGCCTGGGTGGCTCAGTGGGTTAAGGCTTCTGCCTTCCTTTTAGGTGATGATCCCAGGGTCCTGGGATCCATTACCGCATAGGGCTCTCTGCTCAGCGGGGAGCCTGCTTCTTCCTCTCTCTCTGCCTGCCTCTCTGCCTACTTGGGATCTCTGTCAAATAAATAAATAAAATCTTTAAATAAAATAAAATGTCTGACCTAAAAAAAAATTCACATGTCTTCTTGAGATATATTATATCAACTTAGCAAATGTCTGGCAGGTTATAAAAGTTCTTGCCTGGTATTTATGTACAGCTCCTTTTTCATCTTGATTGATTTCCAGTGGCTTCAGATTTTCTCACAGAGAAGGAATATACATTTTTTTAAAAATAAGGATTTGAGTCAACGATATGTAGGGGGCTGATGAGTTTGTTAAAATGCCTTAATGTACAGTCTCCCTAGTGGTGATATTCTTTCTTGAAATAACCTGTGAATTTATCCTACAGATCTGGAAAACTGTAGGGTGGAAACTCGTATCTGTTTCATTAAGTATGTATGGAGCTTTGTATCTTTATGAGAGGCTGACCTGGACCACACGTGCCAAGGAGAGAGCCTTTAAACAGCAGTTTGTGAACTATGCAACGGAAAAACTGCAGATGATTGTTAGCTTCACCAGTGCAAACTGTAGCCATCAAGTACAACAGTAAGTTGAAAGATGTGTCTTTTTTTTTTTAAAGCATTACTGATGTATGACATGTATAAAAAATGCATAAATAAGAATATAGCTCAAAAGAATTATCACAGTATAAACACATTTTGTAATCACCACCAAGGTGAAAAAAACAAGGGTATCAAACAGGCTCAAAAATGCATGATGGCACTCAGGGCTTGATCCTGGTACCCTGGGATCATGACTTGAGCCGAGGGCAGACATTTAACCGACTGAGTCACCCAGGCGCCCCAAGACAAGATGAATTTTGACAACATACTAAGTGAAAGAAGCCAATCGCAAAAGACCACATAAGGTATGGTCCCATTTATATTAAATGGCTAGAGTAGGCAAATGTATAGAGACAGAAAGCATATTATTATTTGCCAAGGGTTGGGAAAGGGGCAAAGGGTAATAACAGGTAATGTATATGAGATTTTTTGTGGGGCAGTAGTGATAAAAGGTTCTAAAATTTTATTTTGGTCATGGTCACACAACTCTGTGAATATACTAAAAATTGAATTGTATATTTTAAGTGAGCAGATTTTATAGTGTGTAAATTATATCTTAATAAAGGTGAGAAAAGGGGAGCCTGGGTGGCTCAGTTAGTTAAGCGTCTGCTGTTGGCTGGGATCATGATCCCAGGGTCCTGGGATCAGGCCCTTTGTTGGGCTCCCTGCTCAGGGGAGAGCCTGCTTCTCCCTCTGCCTCTGCCCGTCCCCCTGCTTGTGTACTCTCTCTCTCTGTCAAACGTATAAAATCTTCAAAAAAAAAAAAAAAAAGTAAAAAAAATAATCTGGGAACCAAATGCTACCAAAAAAAAAAAAAAGCATGATGGCAAGTGTAATGTATTTTTACTGTCACAGCCGAGATTTACAAGTCTAAGATTTTTTGTTGTTGTTGAGAGAGAATAAGCAGGAGCAGGGGTAGGGGCAGAGGAAGAGGGAAAAGCAGACTCCCCACTGAGCAGGGAGCCTGACGTGGGACTCAATCCCAGGACCCTGGGATCATGACCTGAGCTGAAGGCAGATGCTTAACCAACTGAGCGCACTCAGGTGCCCCACTGTATTTACAAGTTTAAAGGCATAATTCTTTTAGAACTGAAGAGAATTTTATTTTTTATTTTAAGATTTTTATGTATTTATTTGACAGAGATCACAAGTAGGCAGAGAGGCAGGCAGAGAGAGGAGGGAAAGCAGGCTCCCCACTGAGCAGAGAGCCCGATTCGGAGCTCGATCCCAGGACCCTGGGATCCTGACCTGAACCGAAGGCAGAGGCTTTAACCCACTGAGCCACTCAGGCGCCCCTGAATTTTATTATACTGGGTCCACTAGTTTCTTTTATAGATCTTAAAATTTGTTTCATTGATCTAATACATAGAACTGCAATTAAGTCAATGCATAATAGTCTGTATTTGGATGCTGCTGAGAGCTGAATTAAACTGTTTTCTGAGCTGAAGAGAATTGTGATTTAATGGGAGAAATAACATAGATAATTACAATAAAAGTTGAAAAGTGATAAGTAATGTAACTGGTAAGTAAGCTTCATAATATGAGGCTCTAGAATCTTAAATCATGAAGAGTAGTAGGTCAAAAAAGATTTCCCAGGGCGCCTGGTGGCCCAGTGGGTTAGAGCTTCTGCCTTCGGCTCAGGTCATGATCTCAGGGTCCTGGGATTGAGCCCCACGTCGGTCTCTCTACTCAGCAGGGAGCCTACTTCCCCCACCCCCCTGCCTGCCTCTCTGCCTACTTGTGATCTCTCTCTCTCTCTCAAATAAATACATAAAATCTTAAAAAAAAAAAAAAGATTTCCCACAAGGAAGATTAGCCTACCAAGTTTGAATGTGTGGAATAGGAAGATGTAGGCAGAGGGAAACACCCCAAACCAAAAGAAAGTAAGTGGGGGGAAGAAATGTGTTCAGAAACATGAGAAATTTGAGTGTGGCAGATGTGTATTTGAGGGGGGTACATTCGAATATAAACCTAATACTAGGATAGGAGTGTGGATATTTGGAAGTCGTGGAAGTTGATGTCATTGACATTTAGTTCTATAAAAATAACTGCAGTGGTGTGGTGTATTGAATGGTTTAGGCTGAGGAGACCAGAGTTAAAGGGAGATTAAACTTTCAGACACAAGCTCAAAGCCTGCACTTAACACAGAGCTGCAGAGAATAGAAACAATGAGGGCACAGACTGGAGGATATTTGCCAAATATTTACTGAGCTCTTGTCTTACACGAGAGTTTTCATTTTATTTATATTAAGGAAGATCTTTTCTCTAATGGAGGTACCTAGACCTCCGGAAGAAATCAGCTGAGGTTACATATGTAAAAACAAAGCTTTTCAAAAAAATGAAGCTTTTCATTCATTTAATCATCAATTGTTAATTGCCTAACATGTGCTAATAACTGTGCCAACATCTATGCTAACGGTGGTTGTAGGAAATAGAGATAACTTGATCTCTTTCTTAAAAGACTTTACATCCTAATGGAGGCAGCCTCGATATATTACTCAGTTAAAAAATACTCTCTAAATATTGAGTTAATGAAATATGAAAATAATGAAAGATTCTTATTTGTCCTAATATTGATATATGGTGAGATGGGTTGAAAATGGAAAGGAAAAAAAACCATGAGGAAGATGAATATGCATAGAATAGTTGCAGAGAAAAGTCAGTTAATCATATTCCAGAGGTATACACACCTACTAGGCATGCTCCCAGTTGCAAAAATAACGTTTGCCAAAGCTACCATATTAACTGGCACACAAATACAATCCTTTAGTTATGGAAACATGGTTCAATGTTGCTATGATTTAAAGTATTTTTTTGTCTAAGTCACAAGCTTATGAAATTTTCTTGCCTGTGCTCAGTAATTGTTATTTCTATAGGCAAGGGACGAGTAAGGCTTATTGTGCTTCTGAAGAAATACACCCATCTTCTGCCTTTTTATAGCTTGTTCATATTCACAACTGTACATTAGAGGTCGATACTGCCTGTTGAGCATTTGTCTTGAGACCAGATGAAATTAAGGCTACAAGTGCCATAGCCTCCTTCAGAACATTCTTAACAGTGTTCTTTGATATCTTATGTTTTAGGTATATTTTAAACTTAGTCTTTCTGTATAAGCTTTAAATTAAAGCTTCATTCATTTTAAAAGACATTCATGACTGCTGAAAAAAAGCTTTTTTTATTTTAAGGGAAATGGCAACCACTTTTGCTCGCCTGTGCCAACAAGTTGATATTACACAAAAACATCTGGAAGAAGAAATTGCTAGATTATCCAAAGAAATAGATCAGTTGGAGAAAATACAAAACAATTCAAAGTTCTTAAGGTATTTGAATCTTTTTTCTCAATAATGTGAACATTTGTTGGTCTCGTTACTTGAGTATAATTATGTAAAATAACTAGTGAATTTGTAGTAAAACTTTTTACATTTGTTTACTTTCCATATTCCATTTGTTTTTCATTTTCAGTGAAACCTAATTTCAACAAGAAAAAGAAAATCTAAATTAAAAAATTAATAGGATTTTTTTAGATCTTTATCTAAAACTATTAAGCCATACTAGTCCCCATTCAGAGCAGAAGTTTTGTAATTAAAAGTGCAAGGTTTGGTTTTGTTTTTTAAGATTTATTTATTTTAGAGAGTGGGCACATGCTTGCACACTTTTACCACCTGTACAAGTTGAGGGGCAGGGCAGAGGGAAAGAATCTTCAGGTAAACTCTGCTGAGCAGAGAGCCCAACATGGGGCTCAGTCTCAGGACCCATGAGCTCATGACCTGAGCAGAGACCAAGAGCCAGACACTCAACTGATAGAGCCACCCAGGTGCCCCAAAAGTGCGAGTTTTTAGTCCTCGGTATTCAGGACCCTTAACTTCCATTTTCCTTGGGGGACTGTTGGGTGTACTTAACTTTAAAGCAACGAAAGTAAACAAGACATCCTAATATGTGCAGTTCTGGTTTAATACTGACTTATCATGGATTTTGTGGCATCTAAGTAAAGTTTGCCTTTGGGGACTTGACCAGGAGTATGAGTGATGAGTAGTAGAAGAAACTACTTCTTGGTAGTTCCTAACTTTCACCTTTTACCCATTAGCTGGCTTACCTAACAAGTTATCATTAAGCAGCAATTAATAGCTGCTGCCGTTTACCAGTGCATGTGCTACATACGGTTACTCATCCAAGAGCAGCTCGCAGTGTCTCCAAATTATAGAGGCTGTCCTTGTGAGCTCAATTTTGGGAGGTACATCTAAAACACTTGCAGTTAAGTCTGTTCACGATGTCTTAATCTGATGTGCAGTGACATTGTCATCACTCCTCAATTTCATCATCTCTGAAAAAGACTGCCGTCACTTAGACCTTAACCTCCTTATACATATAAACACAGCCAAGTAAATTTGATTTATTCCATTCTGCCTGATTTAAGATTATCTCAAATACAGCCTTTCAAATTTAGTAAGATTACATTTAGTAGGTTTTGTGTGTGTGTGTTTGACTTAGGTAAGTTTTTAGTAGTGTTTCTCATCTTGTTTAGAGTAAAATGTAAATGATATTATTGGCACTTACTGTAGCTTTTTGATTTTGGCCAGACTGACTTATGTATGAATAATTATGATCTGCTCATCCTTTTTCTAACAGGAAAGTATAAAATAACAAATACCATAATATTTAGAATCTCCATTGTTGCTAGATTAGGATTAGTAATTCAGGTAAAACTTACCTCTGCTGAAGCCTGAAGAAGCACACAGTGGAGTCTATAGTACATGACCTTGACAATATGCACCCAGCAACAGTACAAGACCAAGAGAAAAGAGAAACTCATTCAAGTATGTGCACGCCCTGGCATAGAATGAGAATGGGAGACACAATCTGTGTTCCTCTGTCAGTGTTCCTATTTTCCTCTTTTTAGGGTACTTAGCTATATCAGGTATAATCCTATTATTAAAAAAAAAACCAAACTTTTGGTATACCATGGTCCTTTCACATCTGACAGCTACTTTATGTATACATAAAACCAGTTATTCTAGGGGCGCTTGGGTGGCTCAGTGGGTTAAAGCCTCTGCCTTCGGCTCAGGTCATGATCTCAGAGTCCTGGGATGGAGCTCCGAATCGGGCGGGCTCTCTGCTCAGCAGCTCAGCAGGGAGCCTGCTTCCTCCTCTCTCTGCCTGCCTCTCTGCCTGCTTGTAATCTTTGTCTGTCAAATAAATAAAATCTTAAAAAAAAAAAACAAAACAGTTATTCTACACTTTATGCTTAACTTAAAGGGAATTCAAAGACAGTTACGACTCTGTGACTTTGGATATAACACCCATGTAAGGTAATAGGATTCCTTTGTCTCTTATGCTTTTCATTCTTAAGTTTTTGGTTTTTATCTCAGTGTACCTTTTTCAAGTTCTGGACATTGGATTCTGTGTTTACAGCAAAGTAATAGCATATATACATACTCTTAAAAGGTTGGTAATAATTTAATCTGCATTCAGATAAATGTAGCAACACCTGACTAGTGGTTTTCTTCTTAAGATTGGATGGAATGCACTTTTTTCCTCACTGGCCTTTATGATAATTAGATTGGTTTTTTATTCATTTTTCTAAATTAGAAATAAAGCCGTTCAACTTGAAAATGAACTGGAGAATTTTACTAAGCAGTTTCTACATTCAAGCAATGAAGAAGAATCTTAACAGTAGAGATTGCTTTGGTGATCATCATAGGAGAAAATGGAACTTGGAAGATTGGGACAGTTGTTTATGAAATGACTTTAAATATGAATTATACTAACTGTACCTAAATAGCAAATCCTTGTGTAGATTCTGGTAATTATCTATCTCAGGGTGTTTGCATTTCTGAAGAGTGTTGTGATGTATTTTTAATTTTAATTTTGGGTAAAGAAAGGCTAAATTGTGTTAAAAATGATGAATTAGTTAAAAGCAACAGAACCAACTATGTGACCCCTGAGGGGTGGGGCCTTGTTCTTAATTAGGGCTCTCTTTGTTTTTGATTCTGAAAAACTCTGCTTCCTGGCATCCAGGAGTTAGAGAATGCTCCTTTCGCCTTTTCTCAAAACTAATTTTTGATGCCCGCCTTAATGGGAATAGCCATTTGTTTTTGTTGTTTTATAAATAGTAATGCTCTATCAAGGAGGAGTGTGGAAATGTTCTTGAGTGTATTGTTGATGCAAGTTACAATCACTTTTGCCATCCTGGCAGATATGTAAACCACTAATATACTGTTTTTACTCCCTCTTTTTTCCCATTAAAACGGATGTAAAATAGTATAAAGGTTTGTTACTATAAAGTCTCTTTAAAAAGTATCTGGGTCTGAATAAATAGTTGCCTGATCTGTTTCTAAAGAAACATTTTCTGCTTCAGCTATGATTATGGCAAGAAAACTTTTCTCAGTTTTAGGAATAAAGTTTGAAGTGATAAAAATAGCCAAAGATATGGGAGCTCTGAATTTTCGGTGGTTACGGTCATGTACAAATGCTATTCTTCAGAAGGTTTTCGCCAGGAGTACTGCTGGACTGTCCCCCCAGGTGGCTTTTACTTTTCTTAATTGTATGAATTTGCCAGGGCACTGTTTATATTAATTTCTAACTTAATGAAATGTTCATGAGTTCGAGTACTGTGTCTCTTTCTGTGTAGAAACTAATAGAAACATATATGGAAACATACAAAATGGTATTCTGGGGCTTTGCTATGCAAAACGTAGTCTTGAGGATCACCAAAGCACCAGCATCTAGATGCTTGTTAAATGCATCATGACAGTGTATTTGGCCGGGGATGGTTTCTGCTTTTCCATAGAGGGATAACATGTTAGGCTCTTTTATCCTTAGTATTTCTTGTGCCTTTAAGGCTCCCGGATGCTACTCAGTCTTTTTGGTGCAGCATTATGTTCCAGGATATTTTAAGGAGAAAATAACATTACTTAGGTCACAGAAGCCTTTCAAAATGTATTTTTATGCAGATCAGATACTAGGATGCAGTGTTAAAATTCAAGTACTACTTGATAGCATTTGTTGTTCTATAACCAAAAAATAGTACAAGCTACCAACAAATGTAGCAACTGCCACATGAAAAACTGATGTCTAAGACTGGGTACTACTAACTTAGGTTACAAGTTCAAGACCTTAATCTTTATATGAAAGTACTTGAACATTTTGAAGAGCATAGTTGTTTGGTATCACCTCCTTAGTAATAGTACAGTGGCTGTCAGAGTTTGGTCCCTGGATTAACTGTATTATCACTTGTGTGAATTTTAGAGAAGAGCATATTGCAGGGTCTCCTCCATACCTACTGAATCCAGTAGTGTTTGGGAACCAGCAGTCTGTTTTCACATGCCCTCCAGATGGTCCCGATGCATGCTCAAGTTGGAACTACCAGAATAGTGGTTCTGGTATAGTGAAGCTACAGTTAAGTTCTCCATCACCAGTTTGAATGTAGCGCCACCTGATCAAGTGTAAAAATGCATGAATGTTGGAAATGGAACACTGAAGTAATGAAACCCAACCTTTATGCCTAAGAGATATGTGCACCTCTAAGGCCATGAATTATACAGGAAGTATGTAAATTCACAGCTGTAATTCAAAGTTGTTGCACATACTTGGTTTACTCTGTATGTTTGCAGGATTATTTATAACTTTGTGTAGCCTTAAACTTTTTATAGAACTACATTTTTATAAGTATGCAAGGTGAAAATAAAACTTGTTTGCCTGATAGTTGATAAATGTAGCATTTATGCTGGCAATGAGTTTTAATCTTTATGTAGTAGACTGGCCCATGCACCCAGCCAAGAAAAGAGACTCCCTCATTTCATTCTCCTGGCCAAGAAAAAGTTCCCCCAATTCATTCTTGAAGGACAAAGAAATGAAAGCAGTAACTTTGTAGCCTTTTAACAGTAGGTAGCATTCACAGTGGTGAGGAGGTTAAGGAAAGGAAAAAGGGCCGAGCATGACATACCAGGCTTGGAGTTTACTTCTGAGGCTTAATTTTTAGTGTGATTAAGATATTATTTATTCATTTCAGAGAGTGAGAGACCGCACAAGAGCGGGGCGGTGGCACAGAAGCAGCAGCAGGCTCTTCACGGAGCAGGGAGCTGGAAGCGGGGCTCAATCCCAGAACCCTGGGATCATGCCTTGAGCTGAAGGCAGACACTTAACTGACTGAGCTACCCAGGCACCTATTTTTAGTGTGATTTTTTTTTTTTTTTAAGATTTTATTTATTTACTTGACAGGCAGAGGTCACAAGTAGGGGGAGAGGCAGGCAGAGAGAGAGGAGGAAGCAGGCTCCCTGCTGAGCAGAGAGCCTGATGCGATGCGGGGCTCTATCTCAGGACCCTGGGATCATGACCTGAGCCGAAGGCAGAGGCTTTAACCCACTGAGCCACCCACGCGCCCCTTTAGTGTGATTTTTAAAATTAAAACATAATACATGAAATCTGGTTAAAAGCACTTTATTGATTACAGTATCAGTTCACAGCAACATTTCACAGAGCTACTGTACAAATAATCATTGTGCAAGAAAGATCCAAGAATACTATTAAGTCATGGTACAAGTCCATAGTTTGGTTTAAAGCTTTTATAAGAGCTTTAATCTACTACGTTCCCCTTGCCCATAGTCATATTACTGACATTCAAAGTCAATTGGCTACAAGTTTGTAGAAACCACTGTAGGTGAAGAAAAACATTTTAATCAGCTTTAAAAACCCACTTCTATGTGGATGCCTTTGGATAAGAATACATGAGTCCAAGTGTTCAGATGCTTTCAAAACAAATAGAATAGAGCACCATTGTGTAAAAACAAAAAGGCTTGAAATATCTACCAAGTATCACTGAAGTTCAATTAAAAAATAAATACTACATGATGTAAGATTTTGTTGGGAACACTTAACACCAGTTGAAACACAAAACCAGCTTTTTCATGATGCTGCATTATAACTATTTTATAGGATTTTATAGGATCAGTAATTGGATTTAAGAAGAAAGAGGAAATTTTATCAACATGCAAACAAATCCACTAAATACAAGGTGTACCATCAATCTGACTAAAACTTTTAAAAGATATGCTGCTAGCTTAGACATTCAACTATGAACCATTTTAATGAGTACCTATTGTAAGATATACCACAGAATTTAAGGCAACTCAAAATGAGCAGGAAGAAAAACTAGTAAATATGAAACATAATTCACCCAAACAGTATAAAATACTAATTTTTTTTCACTGTGCTATTCTTTCTCACAAGAAAGATGGTCTAACCTTGTGGGTGCTTTAAAAAATTCTAACAGGAGATAAGACAGTTTAAAATTTTGCTTTCCACAGGAGGGATGTGCTATGGTGAGTGCGGTGAAGTGTGTAAACTGGCGATTCACAGACCTGTACCCCTGGGGAAAAAAATATATGTTTATAAAAAAAAAAATTAGAAAAAAAAAATTAAAAAAAAATTTTTGCTTTCCACAATGGCTAAAGGGAAATTTGAAGCTGAACACAGTACTTGATTTAAAGGCAGAAATTTTTAAGCCTGACTTAAACCCTCAAGACTCTCGAGTGTGAAAATGATAGGCCCATTTCTAAGATTGATTAATCAGTTTCCTAAGTTTAAACATCAACAGATAAGCCACAGGTATTCACCTGCCTTGTAATTTAAAATGTGAACATTCAACAGTAACCAAAGCATAAATTTCCCTGAATGTTGTCACTTTTAGAAAGGTTAAAACTATTAAATCTAAGACTTCGATAGTGTTGGAGAAGGTCAGTTATAATACTGGCACAGTATACTTTAGCAATAAAAATTTCACTGTCACCTGGAGAAGGCAAGATCCATTTCTCTTAACAGGTTAACTTTAAGACTGCGAACACGTTCCAGAAGCACCTGTATCTGTATGTCTGGGGTACTAGTTCACGATCATGCAGTAGCAGTCAGCTGAGTCTACGTTAAAATGAGGATGGCCTACTAGACTCTTACAACTGAAATATTAAACCCAAACTTTTGCATCTGTGAAGATGAACTCAGTGTGGTGTGCATGGAACCATGGGATCAAGCTAGAAAAATCTGAGGGAGGGAGGGAGGGATGAGAACTTGGATATTCAGTCTAAACCTCTAATACAGGTGCCAAAACAGGACTGCCTGTCCATCAAGGTGGAGAGGTCTTTGCTACCAGCTTTTGGGATGATGTGCTGAACCACATGGCAATCATCATCACTCTTTTTTAAAAGAGTATGTTCTCTTAAATTATTCTTGCTAGATCTGGGGGAAAAAAAAACTTTCTGAGATGATTATAAATAAACATCCTGAGGCATATTATGTTAAGATGTTTCTTATAAGGTAAAAGAAAACAGGCACCAGATAAATGCAACAATCTTGATGCAAATTCTTTAAAACTGTAGAGTAATAAATACTATATTACTCTTACCAGTTAGAAGTCTTAGTCTCAAGTGTTGTGCATATCAGCTGAACTCAAACTGCAAGTAAATAAATATACCTAGCAATTGGAACCTGTATTACTGGAGAGCAAAGATTTAGCTAGTAAGTTAATGTGGTAATAAGGTCATCATTTGGTCATATGTATAAATAGCACAATAGTGATTGGGTCTTAGTTGCCTAGTACACATTTAATTATGGGAACTGCTTTTAACCTTATCTACAAAGATTTCAACTGTTTCTATCAACATGCTTAAGACCATGGAATTCTTATAGTCTGTGCCCCTCTGGCAAAAGTATCTTGTTGTTAGAGAAACTTTCAAGGTAGAAGAGATGCTCTCATATATGTGTTATATATGTATATATATATATGTATATATATACATATATATATATATGTATATATATACATATATATATATATATATATATGTATATATATGGCTATTTTGCTCACGGCAGAAGAGCTTTCTTACAGGAATTTGGAATGAACTGCTGAACTACATGGCAAACCCTCACGTTGTTGGGAAATGAATACATTCCTTTAAAATATTCTTGCCTTACCTTAAAGAGCTATTCTTTATGAAATGACAGTCCACAAACATTAATTGCAAAAAAAGTTCATAGAAATATTATGTGTTTATAAATATACATTCATGCCTGCCATCTAAAATAGTCTTTTTTTTTGGTCCTATATCTTACTCTTCCTTTATCCGTTTTCATTTATCATCATCAGCTGATCTTAAAACTGATAACAGACTTCATTATAGTTGATGCACTTACTAGCATATTCACAATATAAAAATGAAAATTCACAAGTAAATTTTGGGGAGCATTTAGATTAGGGTTACGTGTGATCAAACGTTGAAACCTAAGTTGAAACAGACATTGTTTACTAAATTACGAAAGTAATGCACTTCTGTATAAGAATAATCCATGACTTCGTCAATCAAGACTAATAATCTTGTATTATCAATCATTTAGCTTTAGTTATAGGGGAAAAGTATCTTTGTTTAAACTGAGGGGGGCATTCTAGTAATAAACACATTATATCATTGACAAGTAGGAATTGCTTAGGAAAATACTAAGCAATGTTCCTCTGACTCCTTTAAGGACTGCTCCTGGAATTTTTCTTTTGGCTTTAAAGTGGAGTTACTTGGATCTAAGTATTCCTTTTGGCAAAATCACTTAGAAACCATTTTCTTGTGCCAAGAGAAAAATCACAGAAGAGCAAAAAGTCTGAATGTTTCCCTTTTTAAATTTAAGTCAAGATAATATGAAATCTGAATTGATATAAACTGAACACAAACTCATAAAGCCACCTTGCTACACAACTGTAACTAATCAAGTCTAATGACTGGTTAGATTGTAACACTTCTTTCAACAACGTAATGCCATCACATTGTATTTCCCATCTACATGTCTATCAATGGAGAGTACTGGACAAAATTCTTCAGATGCAAGGACAACCCAAATGTTAATCTGAAATAATGAGGGTAACCTACAAATTCAGTTTCAGAATATGAAATCACTAGGAAAGCCCTGCTCTTTAGAGAGCTACTCAAAGTGTCATTAGATCATAACCAGATTTTTTAAATGTTTAGAACTTTCTTTTTTATGCAATCACTGCTAACTATGTAAGAGTTTCTTATGTACGTCTAAAATTTCAGAATGATACCTTGATTCCCTGGCCTTCAGATTATCTCCCCCTCCAAGGACTGAAAATGAGCACTTACTTAAATTCACAGGATGGCAGAAGGATACACCAGAAACTAATGATACTCAACAGGGACTGCCCTCAGAGGTATCTAGGCCTGCTAGCATTCTTAAACATTAAGCAACCAGGAGCTAAAAGGTCAGAAATCAAGGAGAGTTTCTTCAAACGTAAGTATACATACATATGGGATCACTTCCATCTCTTACAGTGCCTACTTCCTCCATTACAAAACTCAAAAATGTGATTATTTCTTATGTATAGAAAGTTAAAATTGTAAGTCTTAAAAAACACAAACATGATAAACCGCTATAATAACATTCTGTCCTACACAAAGAAAATAAAGAATTTCGAGTAAAAGCAAAAATTCATCAAGGTTCAATTAGCTTAATTCCTCAAATTAACGCACTGGTCCTTTCAATCTCAGCAAGCACCCCTTGCCTCCCCCCGCCACTTGTTTCGTTTTGTAGTTTACGGAAATCTTTTTGTATATAACAATCTCAATAGAAAAATCTTCACCTGCAAATATAAGGTAGAATTTTCTTCTCACAGCGATAGGCTGTAGCACTGATTTCTCCAGATAGCAACGGAGAACAGAAAACATGTATGCACTATTAATTCCAGATTCTAAGAAAACTGTCCCAAGAGCCTGTTGCCACAGCCATGCCATCATCTGTTACACCTAAACAGCTGACACGGTTATCATGACCAGCAAGAACACCTGAAAAGCAGAAGTTTAGTAAAAAGTTAACAAAAGCCAACTTTCAGAATTAAACAATTATGTGCATAAAAGATTTAGAAGGGTATTTAAAAAAATTTTTTTTTCAAAACACCATATTTAATTTTCAAATCTTTTCTTTATCCTTTATTTTCCAAGGGCGTACTGTGCATGTTTAAGTGTATGTTCACCAGCTTCTGAAACAATTATCAATAAACAATTGTGAGGACGAAAGAGTTGGAAAGAAACGGTATGCATGGTATGGGAAATCAGAGAACAGAACACTTAAAACTCATTAGAATGTATCAACAAGGCAAAAAGTCTAGAATACCTATATATTCACTATATCCACATCTTGAGTAACTATTGCCAAAAGCAGTCTCAGGAATGACTTTGCCTTTAGTTTCAAGAAGTATTCGTTTGCAAGAAATTTGTTCACGAGGTTTTATTTCATCCCTATCCCTATCTCAGCAATACACTGGGATAATGCAGACCGTCAGTACTAAAGTGGACGTTTGCCTTTTTTAAATTTTTCTGGCTACCTGGCTGTCAGAGGAGGCTCCTCACTCCAAATGGGGAGCCTGGGTGCGAGGGGTAAGCTAGGTAACTGCAAGGAAAATGAGAATCGTGAAGATCTACAAGAAAACTTGGAATATATCAAATTCAAGAATTACTTTTTTTTAAATAAACTCTGAGTTTGCAGTATCTATAACGAAGCAAAATCATGTTCAATCATGTTCACCCAACCGCAGGAACATAACCTCACCTAACTCTTAATATCTCTGTAGTCCCTCAGGCACAGCAATGTTTGGCAACAGGCAAAGGTACAATCGTGGGTTGAAGTAACAGAAAATGAGCACTGTGACTAAATACTCCAAGTCACATTGGAAAGGAAAATGAGTTAGCAATTTGCAAGTCGCCATTCAATTTTTACCGTTAAGAGTAATCCAGTTGGGCCAACGAAACCAAGCAGCTGTAAGCAAAGCAAAACTAACTCAAGCATATGCTCAATTATGGGAAACAAACACATTCTGATACTGTTATGGATACTAACTGATTCAATCCAGGCAAAACGCCTAATACCTCTTTAAACAAAAGTCCTAATTGTGTAAACACTGATGTTCTAAATAAAATCCACTCTACGTGGGAAACATTAGAAGACAGGAAGGATGCAGCTGTAGCGGGAGGAGAAATGTTAAAACTGAGCCCTCAACAGAGAACGCCAAGAAGTTTAAAAAAAAAAAAAAAGAATGATTCATTCAAATCGTTGTTTTAAAACTTCCAGTCTCTGTTGGTGTTCAGCTTTAACATCTCTCCTGCTGCTCCTAATAAACCATGTGGGAGTGCACACACGCACACAAACGGGAGTGCTAGCAGGAAAGGCGTGTTATTTAAAGATACGGAAGTACATACTTAGGAGCTACCTTTGGGAACAGGAAATAGCTGCTGGGGCCAGAGGACTGCTGCTTTGGTAACAAGCCATGTACCTGTTTGATTCCTTATGCATAATACTGATTGTAAGAAATACTTAAAATCACTCTGTGTAAGGTATTATTCATGACAGTCTACAGTGGAACTCGATACACTCACTAATATTCTGGAGGCCACAGGGGAGAAGTCAGAGCATGGGGCTAAGGGGAGAGTGGGCCTGTGTCCTGTCCCAGACAAGATCCACTCCAGAAGGAAGAGGATTCATAGCAGTTACAGTGCCTCCTGTCAGGTTAGAAGAAACTGTACTCTAGTGAAGTCCACACTGAATCAGATTCACTGTTCATCTTCAGAGCAAAACTTACCAAACAAGATATTCTAGAACTAGATGTTACTACTCTTTACAAAATGCGAATGTCACTAGGGACCACGAATGAGAGCTGCCAGGGTGCCATTCCCCATGGCTCCATAGCATCTGGGAGGCCTGGAGAACCACCCGACAGGAACCTCTCCCTGTTTCCTGACAAAATCCAAACCTATTGAAACTTCTTTACCAACCTGCACGATCTCCTTTTAGCGTGTCCCACACATTACAGTTGAAGTCATCATAACCAGCTAACAGGAGGCGCCCGCTTTTTGAGAAGGCTACAGAAGTGATCCCACAGATGATATTGTCGTGAGAATACAGCAGTAACTCCTGGTCTGCACGGAGGTCAAAGAGCCGGCACGTGGCATCATCAGAGCCAGTGGCAAAGGCATATCCGTTTGGGAAAAACTAGAAAGCAAAGGAACAGACATTTATTCCCCAGAAGTATACAAAATCCACATGAGGCAGTGTGATGAGACCTAAATTTGAACTCCAACTTGGCTTCTTCCAGGTAAGAAATGTCGGGCCCTGAAAATTCTTAGAACACTTTCGGCCCTCAGTTTCAGAGTGCTGGTTAGGACTGAATGAACTAACATTCAAGGTCCGTGGTTCAGCACACAGCAAGTACGCAGTAAAGACTGGCTCTGTTCCTCCATGTAGCTTTTTAAAAGATTTAAATCAGATGGTACTGTTTATAGAATTTATATGTGCAGTCTTAAACATTCCAAAGTCCCATCATGAAAAACAAACAGGAAAGATTTTACAAAAGAGAACATAAATCAGCCTAGTTAGGCTAGGTATAAACTTCAGGTAGAAGTAAACTATGCATTACTAGTTTGTGAATCCCCTTTTCTCAGAACCTAGCAGAACACTGATTTTTTTTTTAATAACTTTTCATCTATCTGTTGGTCATCTGTACATCTGTATTATTTTTGTGAAATGATTTTTCACGACCTTTGCCTATTTTTTACTATGCTGTTAGTACTTGCTGACTTGTAGGAATAAGATGAATGCAAATTTTATTTTTACACATTTTATAGTTCTTTATAGTTTCTTTTAAAAATATAAAATTTCATTTTTATGTAACCAAATTTATCTTTCCATTTGAGATTTCTTCCATTGTTTTATGAATACAGTCCTTTCTCAGGCTTATTAGCTGATGTTCAATTGTATCTTTTTCTAATTTTTTAAAGTAATTTCATTTTTCACATCTTAATTTTTATCTATCCAGGATTTATTTGATATACCAGCATTCAGTATAAGGATCTAACTTAATTTTCTTAATAGCCAAGTAACTGTCCCAACTGTTTAAATAATCATTTTACTAATTTTGTTGTTACATCTTTAATTCACTGAACTCTTGTGTACACAAAAAAGTTAGTTTTGTCTATCCTTTCTTGTACCTGTACCACACTTTTTAAAAAATCCTAGAGGTGCCTGGGTGACTCAGTGGGTTAAAGCCTCTACCTTTGGCTCAGGTCATGATCCTCGAGTCCCTCATCCGGCTCTCTGCTCAGCAGGGAGCCTGCTTCTCCATCTCTCTCTGCCTGCCTCTCCGCCTACTTGTGATCTCTGTCCATCAAATAAATAAAATAAAAAATCCTAAGTTGACAGTAAATTTTTCTATCTGGCATGGCAAAATACTCATGGTACCCTGATTCAAATCAGTCTGTTTTCTCCTCCCCTCCCCGTACTTCAGTTTCACAGACATCTGATCAAGTTTCTTTTCTACATATTTCTCTGACTCATCTCAAAAAAAAAAAAAAGATCCACTTGGGTTTTTTTGGGGGGAGAGGGAGAGAATCCCAGCAGACTCTCCTGGACACAGGGCTCCATCTCATGACCCTGAGATCACAACCTGAGCTGAAAACAAGAGTCAGACACTTGATGGACTGCACCACCCAGGCACTCCTCCACTTGGGTTTTGATTCAAATTTGTATTAAGTCTAAAAATTAGTTTGAGGGATAAATGATTAGCTTATAACATGCAGTCTTTTCATTCAGGAAGATGGTACTTTTTCAAAGATTTTATTTTTTAATTTAGAAAAAGAGAACGTAAGAGTTGGTAGGGGGAAAGAGGGAGAGAGTCCTAAGCAGGCTCCAGGCCCAGCACGGAGCCCCAGGTGGGGCTCCATCTCATGACCCAATCTGAAATCAAGAGCTGATGCTAAACTAAGCCACCCAGGGACCCCACAATTATTAAGTAATCTCTATACCCAAAACACAGGTCTTAGACTTACAAGCCCAAGATCAAAAGACATGTTCCACTGACTAAGCCAGCCAGGTATCCAGGGAGTATGGAATTACCAAAAATAAAAAAAAAGTTTCAACAAAATTTTATGATTATAAAGATCCTACGCATTTCTCATTAAATGTATGCCTCTTTCCTAATTTCTGTTGCTATTCCCAATAGGATTTTCTTCCTTTCCGTTTTCTGCCTGGCTATTATTGGTGTATGTAAGAAAGTTAAATTTTTATTTTGATTTTAAAATAGTTTCTGTCACCCAGAAAATACACTGAAATCTGGGATATCTAGAGAGCCAGACTATATCACCTGCAAATAATGATATTTGTTTTACTTTCTAATTCAGCTTTTATTTCCATTTTGGTTCCAACTATACCAGCTGGACGTTTCAGAACCATTTAAATAATGGTGATGGTATTATCATCTTGTTACTTAATACAAGTAACAAGCCTCCAGTGTTTTCACTGTTAAGAAGTCCCCCCACGCTCAGATGATGGTGGAAGAAGGTAGTGATAACAAGGTAACAGATTCTCAGAAATGCAAGTACTTCTTACTTTAATGCTTTTAGTTTGGTTCAAGCCTGGTCCCAGTGGAGATGATTTTTCAAACCTTTCTGAAACCTTTTTTCAAACCTTTTCAAGTTCCCAAAAGGCATAAGGAACCCCTAGCCATAATTTCCTCTATCTACCAAAGATCCAAATCATTAGTCCTCCCAGGCTACAGAGTAGTTTAGAAAGAAGGTCCTTAAGCAAGTGAAAGGCTTCACCAAACCCTTACCGCCTACTTAGAGGCTAATGATTTTGACCACTTTCTTCCATCCTAACAGCCAGCAAGATACTCTCCATTGTTCCTTTGCAGGAAGTCCAACAATACCATTTACATACATTTATCAGCATGTATGGGGTTAAACCTGTTCTCTACCATGGACCGAAACAGAAGCTATAGTACAATAAAGGACACCCAATCAAGAACACCCCTTTCAGCTCAGTGTATCGGGCACAGCACACCAGTCTATGTTCAAGACACAGGATGACCAGACATCTGTTTTGTATAGGATTGTCCCCATTTATGCCCTTCTCCCAGGCAAAACTGGTAACCGCATTCTCTCACACTCAAAATTTCACATTTCCTAGGCTGGATGATAGAAGCTCACGTTACCAATATGATGAACTAGTTTTAACTGGGAGCTCAGGATGGCCCTCAGAATACAGGAAATACTTAAATACATTTTAAATCTGCCAGATACATTTAAAGAAAAGTCTGTGTGATGTTGGCGGTTCATTTAGTTGGGTTTCTTTGGGTTTGCTATATAACCTTTACTATTCTTAATTTTATGCATCTGCAATATTTACCCTTCTTAAGTTTACCAGAGATTTAGGGAGTCAAGTCTTCTGAGTATTTGAATTTTTAAATTTTCTAACAGTTTTCTATTATAAAATTTTCTAAATATTTGTTCATTCAACAAATATTCATTAAGTACCTACTGTATCATGCACAGTTCTAAATGTTGGTGTGGAGATCTATGGAAGTCAACAAAACTGACAAAAACCTTGTCTCCATAGAGCTTATATTCTTGTGAAGCAGACCATAAACATGAAAAGCAAATAAAAAATAAGCATGTTAGATCATGATAAATACTGAGGGGAAAAAAAAGCCAGAAAAAGGGCAAAGGAACATGGGTAAAAGCTTAGGCTGTCCAGGAAAGGCTCTACTAAGAAGCTGTATTTACTAGAGAGCACGCCCCACCACCACCACCGGACAGGAGGTGAAGAGCTGGGCTTCTGCTGGGAAGATCAGAGACACAGAGAGGGGTCAGTAGTGGTGACAGTCCCTGCCATACAAAATGTGCTGGCGGGGTTAGGGGGACGGGAGGTTGGAAGGGTGGCAAGAAGGCCAGTGTGACTGAGGCAAAGGGAGGACTGGGCAGTTCAGAGAGGGAGGGAGGCAGCGTGGGTCATGGGTGACCACAGGTTCACAGTCCCTAAGAGGCTGATATGAACCCCTCAGGGTGGCTGTTTTTCAGAACTTTAAAGTTTTTCGGATTTTAGAAGAGGAAAATGCTGTGTATTAAGAACTCCACTGGGCCCAGAGTAGTGTCCAGTGTGTCCAGTGACGGATACATCATACTAAGTGGGGTAAGTAAAGATGCTGAGCTGCTCCTTGTCGTTCTAGTCAGGTTCTGCCACAGAGTACGTCTACACTAAACTTAGGGGAGAAAACATTTTTCACAGCTCTCCAGATGTCAGACTTGCAGCTAGGCTGGACGGACCACAGTGAAGGGGCAAAAGGGTAGGGGGTGTAGGACCTACTGGTTCAGGGAGAGGTTCTCCCTTCAAATCTGCATTTCTGCTTTTCTCTTTACCAGCTCCTTCCTCTCTTTCTCCTAGTGTGAACTGTTCTTTTTTTCCGAAGTCCTGAGCTATTCACTTATTTATTATTTCTTTAGTGGCCTACTATGTAGTTGGTTCTTATGTTTAAGAACATCTGTCCAGGGGTGCCTGGGTGGCTCAGTGGGTTAAAGGCTCTGCCTTTGGCTCAGGTCATGATCCCAGGGTCCTGGGATCGAGCCCCACATCGAGCTCTCTGCTCCGTGGGGAGTCTTTCCAAAAAAAAAAAAAAAAAAAGAATAAGGAAAAAAATCAGAAAATATTAAAAGTAGGCAGAGGAAAACAAAGGACACATTGTATAGAGACCAAATATAAGCATGACAGCACACCTCACATTAGTACCAACATAAACCAGAAGACAGTGGAATAACATCTTCAGAATATCAAGAAAAAAAAAAAACACAGTAAAAGTATTTTTCAAAAATGAGGGCAAAATAAAAAAGGTTTTGAATATACAAAACCTGAAGGACATTAACAGATTTGCATTATAAGACACAATAAAGAAAGCCCTTCAAGAAGAAAAACAGGTGAAAATCTGAATCTATAAACAAAAGAATGAGGAGCACAGAAAATGGTAACTATGTTAATAAACGTAAAGACTTTATTTTTTAAATCTCCCTAAAGGAGCATCAGCACTTGAAAGCAATAATAATATCAGTATATTATAGGGTTTAAGATTTATGAAAGGAAAATGTAGAACAACTGCACAAAGGCTGCAGGGGCGGGGAGTGGGAGAATCCAGGTAAAAGGTTTTTATCTATATGAAAAAGTGGTAGAAAGTCACTTAAAAGTAGATTGCTACAAACTGTAGAGGTATACCACAAATTTTCTCGGCAACCACAAAACAACAACAGCAAAAACCAAAAACCAACAAAAATGTTGCTAAAAAACCAAGACACGATATTTAAAAATTCAAAAATGGTAGAAAAAGAACAAAGAATAGACAGGACAAAAGGCAAAGAGCAAGATGCTGAATTTAAACCTAATCATGTCAATACAATAACCATATAAAATGTAGATGGTCTAATTAATAAAGACAGAAACAGGACTCTGTGTTTTTTTGTTGTTGTTTTGTTTTGTTTTGTTTTTTGAAGATTTGAGCAAGTGAGCGAGCAAGCACAAGTAGGGGAGGGGAAGGGGCGGCGGGAGATAAGCAGACTTGCTGCTGAGCAGCGAGCCCAATGCAGGACTCGATCCCAGGACCCTGGGATCATGACCTGAGCCAAAGGCCAATGCTTAACTAACCAAGCCACCCAGGCGCCCTGAAATAGGACTCTTTAGACCCAACTACTGCCCTATAAGAAAATCACTTTGGATATAAAAATACAAACAGCAAGCAAAAGCAAGGAAGAAGATATGCCTATGCTAAGACTAGTCAAAAGAAAGCCGGGGTAGTTCTATTAACATCACACAAAAATTTCAGAGTAAATTTCAGAGTAAATAATATTACCAGGGATAAAGAGGGACATTTCATAATGATAAACCAACCAACAAAGAGACCACAATAATCCTAAAGGTTTATGCTTTCAAATACTCATTGAAGCAAAAACTATCACAAGGAAAAATGAACAAATACACAAATAGAGATTTCAAAAGTTTTCTCTCAATAACAGAAAGAACTGAGTTATCAATAAGGATACAGAAGACCTGAATAATTCTATTAGGCAACTTGAGATAATTGTTATCTGTTGAACTCTCCATCCAGTAACAGCAGAACAGAGATTCTTTCCAAGTGCAAAATAATGACTAGGTCAGACAGTTTTCTGGACCATAAAACAAATCTCAAGTTTAGAATCCTATAAATCATACGAAGTGTATTCATGGACCATAATACAATTAAAAACAAAAATAAAAATATCTAGAACATCTCCACACATTTGAAAACTTCTAAAAACCTCATGAGTCAAAGAGATCAAAATTATAAAAAATGTTTAACTAAATGAAAATGAAAACACAGCAACATCCAAATCTTTGGGGTGCACCAAAAGCAATGTTTAGAAATTTACCACTTTAAGCTTCAATATTTAAAAATAAAAAGTTTCCGGGATGCCTGGGTGGCTCAGTGGGTTAAGCTGCTGCCTTCGGTTCAGGTCATGATCCCGGAGTCCTGGGATCAAGTTCCGCATCGGGCTTCTTGTTCAGCGGGGAGCCTTGCTTCTCTCTCCACCTCTGCCTGCCTCTCTGCCTGTTTGTGTGCTCTCTCTCTCTTCCTCTCTGACAAATAAATAAATAAATAAATAAAATCTTTAAAAATAAAAAGTTTCCAATCAATGGTTTCAACTTCTACCTTACACGCCTAGGAAAAGAAAATGACACCCAACTACACAGCCAAGAAATAAATAATCGAGTGAAAAATCGATTAAATAAAACAAAAATTGAGCAAATCACTCAAATCAAAATATTGTTCTTTGAGAAGATAAAGAAAACAGATAAACCTCTACAAATGTATTCATTTGCTAGGACTACTGTGTAACAAAGCACCACAAACAGCGTAGCTTACACAGCAGAAATTTAAGGTCTCACAGCGGCGTAGTTTACACAGCAGAAATTTAACGTCTCGCAGTTTTAAAGGCTGCAAGCCTAAAGTCAAGGTATCTAAGGGCTGTGGCTGGCAGTCTTTTCCCTGGGACTCTTCACACTGTTAACCTTCTCTGCTTGTTGCTCTGGAGCTTTCCCCTTTTTCTAAGAACACTGGTCATCTTGGATTAAAAGACCTCCAATCTGGTATGCCTCAGCTAATCACATCTGCCAACAACCCTATTTTCAAATAAGGTCACACACCCTGAGGTAGTGGGGGTTAGGACTTGATGGATAAATGTATAACCTCAACAGGTCTATATCTAAGTAAGACATTAAATTCATCGTTAAATCTCTTCTCACAAAGAAAACTCTCCCAGAGAGCTTTCACAGAGAAATTAAACCAAACATCTGGGATGCCTGCGTGGCTCAGTCAGTTGAGTGTCCGTCTGCCTTCGGCTCAGGTCATGATCCCAGGGTCCTCGCTGGGGGAACGGGGAGCCTGCGGCTCCCCCTGCTTCTGTACTCTCTCTCTCCATTTATTTATTAAATAAATAAAATCTTTTAAAAAAGAAACAAAAACAAAGAACAAAACAAAACAAAAACAAAATAAACCATTTAAGGAAGAAGTAAGACCAATTCTACACAAACTGTCCCTGATAGCTGAGGTGGAGGGAATGGTCCCCAACTCTGCCTACAAGGCCAGCATTAGTCTGATACCAAACTAGAAAAAAAATTTGAAGAAAGGAAAAAATAGAACTTTCATGAATATGGCTATAAAACTTCAAACTTTTATAAATCAAAGGTAATATATAAAAACAATTATGTATGATCACCAAGTATGATTTGTCCCAGAAATAAAGGGTTGGGTTAATATTAGGGGGAAAAAAAATCAATGTGAATTCACTAACAGACTAAAAACAAAAACCACATGATCTTCTCAACAGATGAAGAGAAAGGATTTAATAAACTCCATCCATCCCTGAGAAAATCTACACAAATTAGGAAAACAGAGAATACCATCAACCCAAGAGAGGTGACAGAAGATAGAGATGGAGAAGATTAGGTATACCTGCTCTAAAATTCTCTTCTAACCAGGCGGGCCAAATAATAAGGGGTGGATCCTGGGATCGAGTCCTGCATCGGGCCCGCTACTCAGCAGTGAGTCTGCTTCTCTCCCGCCTTCCCCTTCCCCTCCCCTACTTGTGCTTGCTCGCTCACTCACTCAAATCTTCAAAAAAAAAAAAAAAAAAAGAGACCTGTTTCTGTCTTTATTGTTTAGACCATTTACATTTTATATGATTATTGTATTGACAGTATTAGGTTTAAATTCACCATCTTGCTCTTTGCCTTTTGTCCTATTCTTTGTTCTTTTTCTACATTTTTTAAGTTTTTAAAAAATTTTTGAATTTTTAAATATCATGTCTTGGTTTTTTAGCAACGTTTTTGTTGGTTTTTGGTTTTTGCTGTTGTTTTGTGGTTGCCAAGAAAATTTGTGGTATACATCTACAGTTTGTAGCAATCTACTTTTAAGTGATCTTCTACCACTTTTACTTTCTTAGATGTTCAACAAAATTATAAAAAATGGCTTTCATTTGTTTTAAAGATTTTATTTATTTATTTATTTGACAGAGATCACAAGTAGGCAGTCAGAGAGAGAGGAAGGGAAGCAGGCTCCCCAGTGAGCAGAGAGCCCGATGTGGGGCTCAATCCCAGGACCCTGGGATCATGACCTGAGCCGAAGGCAGAGGCTTTAACTCACTGAGCCACCCAGGCGCCCCCCAAAAATGGCTCTGTTTTTTGTTATTATATGTGAATAAACAGGAAACAATTTTTTCCCCAAATACATCTTCTTCCAAAATGAGGAGTGTCTTATACACAAAAGCATTTGCATTCATAGTACTTTTGGAAATTCTAGTCATTTTTAACAGTTTAGCATTTGACCTACACAGGACAGTAATAACCACATATGATTAATTCATGCTCATATACACAGAATACTTATCTGGCTTAATCTATCTGTAGTTATCTGTTTGGGGGTTTTGTTGTTATAACCATGTTATAGATTTCAACAGTTTATATCCACAATACAGTTTCCTTAGAAATGCTATTTACTTACACTGACAGCATTGATATCTGACACGTGTCCAGTAAAAGACTGTCTGCACATTCCATCTCGAATATCCCACAATTTGGAAGAAGCATCACAAGCACCAGAAACAAAAGTCCTCATGTCAGGACTCAGGGAAAGACTCATCACATCTCCAGAATGCCCAGTGAAAGTGGTGGTCTGCTGGGCAGTTTCGATGTCCCATAAAGCACTGTAATTAAACGTAAATTAAAATAACAGCTATCAGATCTTTCCTTATGTTAGTTCCAACTACCATCCTCAATCCTCAAATCAGTGTTTGCGTGGACCACACTTACCAAGTTGTGTCTCCTGAACTTGTAACGATCTGGCTGTCATCTAAAAATCGGCAGCAGGACAAGTAGCCTATAGTATGGAGAGCAACACCTTTTAGGTTAACTAAACGGAATAACCCAATTAGCACATGAACTACTAATACGCATTTTTTAAAACCCAATACGTAGGCAACATATATTTGTTGGCATAACCTATAGTGTTACTTCCAGTTCTATGCTGTCTGCAACTCAATTCAATTTTATCAGGAAATTCTCAGGTAATTACTATGTCGATGGCATATCCTGTTAAGACACTCCAGAAATGACAAACTTGGGACACAGTTCCCTTCTGCCTACTATGATTACCGAAGAGAGAGATTCCTTTACACAAATTTCTATCATCTATGGAAGACTAGGTTTGGTGCACTGGGAAATCCTCTACTAACACTGTGAGAAATTACAACAACCTCAGTGACGGTTTCATGGAACACGGTCACCTGAATGCTCAGAATTTACCAGTGTTTCCAAATATGGAAATGGATATGGCAGGAAAAGGATATTAGAGATTTTTATGAAAAGCATCACCAAATAGTACTACCAAGAATTCAGAGAGGCAGAAGCCTGATGAGCGGCAATAAATTCCTTATTAACACTGAAAACCAAATACACTCTCTGCTGTGCACCCTCGCAAACCAAGCAATGTACTCTCACATTTATGAAGTATTTTTCACTATGTATCTAATACACACTTTCAGTTACATAACTTAGATGTCAAAATCCCGTAACTGTTATATGGTGGCAGAGAAAACAGAGAATTATGTTTTTTTTTTAAAAAATGGGCTCCGTGGCAAGCATGGAGCCCAACACGGGGCTTGAACTCACTACCCTCAGATCATGACCTGAGCCAAAATCACGAGTCAGACGCTTAAATGACTGACCACCCAAGCACCCCCGTATTTGTGGGGTTTATTGTTTGAATCTTTTGCAATCGATCTGTCATTTTCATAAAATAGTGTTATTTTTCAAAGAAAAATAAGGTTACAGTCATCACTTGTAGACCTTTAAAGTTGGTGCTTTGCTGATTCATAGTCATTTTTACTCTCACTTGATAAACACTCAACCTTCAGCAGCTGAGCACGATTTGCCATACATTCTAGCTCACTGGCTCACTCAGGAGTCCTCCTATTTGGTAGGAAAGGACAGTATCTAGTGCAGCTCACCTGTGTGACCCGGTAACTCCCGGCTCACTCTCACGTTTCCTTCTCTGGTTTTTAAGTTATATATAGAGCAGATGTTGTCCAGCCCTCCACACGCGACATAATTACCAGACGGAGCATAGGCACAGGTCATCACCCAGGAAGACCTCAAAGGAATAGCATGCATCTGTGCAACAAATATAACACAGAAACTATTACTAAGATTACAAAAACAGTCCATTTTTCAAACCGATTTACAATGAAGCAAATATGACTAAAAATTAAATACATCTAACTAAAAATAAGCCAAATTAAAAATGCAATGGTTTAAATGAACAATGAAAAATAAAATAGTAATAATACAGAAAAACTAATAGGCACATTAACATATATCACCAATTCATTTGGATTTAAGTGTTCTTTTTCAGGAATTATTTTAAGAGAAGGATGTAGAATGTTTGAATGCTAATAAATACATCCACTCAAAACATTAAATGCAAATGTTAAAGAACTTACTAAAATTCTTTGTTCTGGCAACAGTAGTCAAAAGAGGAATTTCCTCCAATATGACACTAAACAATGCAAGTGTCAGAGCCAATGAAAATGGTTCTTCCATAAAAAATTAAAAAATAAAATGGTTCTCCTATGAAGAGATGGCACTGTGGGGGCACCTGGGTGGCTCAGTTGGTTAAGCATTTGCCTTCGGCTCAGGTCATGACCCTGGGGTCCAGGGATGGAGCCTGCCATGAGCTCTGCTCAGTGGGGAGTCTGCTTCTCCCTTTCCTTCCTGCCTCTCCCCCTAGTTTGTGCTCTCTCTTTCACTCAAATAAATAAATCTTTGAGAGAGATGGCACTGTGTCCTTCTAATAGCTGGATATACACTCTGCACCCAAATTTTAAAAATGGCAATAGTTTGTTGTGCTTTATTACCCAACAGCAATCATTTGCAAGTAGGGGGCAAAATTTAAGGTATATGGGAACAGCAAGGCTAAATGGTCCAGAGAATGAACACACTGGTTGAATCCTATTATGCTCTTGCTTAAACCTAAAATATTTTAAAAACTATTCTTGTTCTAGGAAAATATGGCTGAAAGACATGCTGGATGGGCCAACTAATACATAGAAAAACTCATAAATCTGTCTTAGCTAGCTTTAAAATCTCAATCAGGCTGAAGTTATTGTTTACTTCACAAAACAGTACTTTTAAATCTTTAATAAAAATAGTGATAGAAATACACAGAATATAAAAGGTATTTCATATGTGTAAGTTTCTTGAGTGGAAGCTTTTCCACTGCCACTCAACCCTTTGACATCAAGGATTCCTTCCAGTGGACACATTAGGAGGACCCATTGGGTTTTGCCAAGATGGAAAAAAGCTGTAATTTGCTTCCAAGCTTCTGCATCTCCTCAGCAAGCCAGAAACACAAATCAGCGGATCCAAGAAAACCCTCACAGTAGCAACGTGGCTTACCCACAACTAGAAATAAAAACCTCAGGGTCGTTGCCCATTAGGAAATGCGTAATTAAAAAAAATCATTTATAGTGGCATCTAGCTAACTCATTCATAAGAGCTTTGGACTCCTGATCTCAAGGTTGTGAGTCTGAGCCCCACGCTGAATGCAGAGTGTACTTAAATAAAACTTTAAAAAAATAAACCATCCATGTGTAAAACTAATGCACACCCTTTTCTAATACTAAAATACAAAATAGGAGACTCAAGTAAAATACACTGAATGATAGTCCTACCACTGTCCTTGGGAACATAAAAGGGCTTAATTATTAAAAGCAAATACTAGGCCCAAACAGAGGACCTAGAGTAAAATAAATGGAGTAATTTTATCTTTGAGGGAAATTTAAGTTTGAAATAACTGAATAAAGGAAAGCACTGGTAGACACCAGACCAAATAAAAGATTAAAGAGAATGACTAAGATATCCTACCTTATTTGTTGTATAGCTATCCCAAATAATTAATTTTCCATCTTGGGAAGCACTGACTAGTAGCCTAGAGGAAAAAACACAAAAATAATTTGACACTTAGAGGAAAAAAGTAGCTTAAATTAGTCATCCACTGCATTACTAGAGAATAGTTAAGAAAAAAATACTTTTCTAATTAAAAACTGGATACCAGAAAATTATCTTCCCAACTTAAAAAAAATAAATTTTTTTTCTGCATGCCAAAGTTTTCAGTAGGACACAGAATTTAGCAAAATTTAAACATTTTACTAAATTTAAACATTTTTACTAAAAATGTCTCTGGTTATAATTCAACTTTTTTTTAAAAAATGATTCAACTTTTTATGGTGACAACATTCTAGTTCTTATTCAAGATTCTGATAGCTAATAGCTCACTGGTTCATTAATTACTGACTTAGGCTTAATGACAACAGAGTACATATAACCCTAAAACTGTATTTCACTCCACCTAAAAATCTGAACTGGGAGCCAGTGAAGGCAAGGCAGCCTTTCTGGATATGATGCAGGATATGCCTCCTGCCTTTGAGGCCTCTACCATCTGGCAGAGAGAAGGTATTTACAACAAGTTTACAGTAAGTTAAGTAAGTGCAAATTGTCAGAGGGGTGGTATAAAATCAATGCTGTTGTTGAGTCTTGTTGAGTCTTGCCAAAAAGAACGCATACTGAAAAATGGAATCCTGTAAGCTAAAGGTAGAAGTCCATATTCTGTGAGGAGGGTATGTTCATTGACAAGGAGAAAAATACAGCACGTGTTTCAGGAACTGTGAATTTTCCACTTGCACAGAGTGTGTGAGAAATGGGTGTAACAGCTGAGAAAAGTGGGCTGGGCTTGAACAGCAGAAAGCTTTGCTGGTTAAATATGAACTCTTAACAACTATTAGTTAACTGTAATTTTTTGTTTTGCTTTGGACATTTTCACTAGGATATAAAATTCAAAAGATATAAAAAAGCTATCCGGGGGCACCTGGGTGGCTCAGCGGTTAAAGCCTCTGCCTTCAGCTCAGTCACAATCCCAGAGTCCTGGGATCTAGCATCGGGCTCTCTGATCAGCAGGGATCCTGCTTCCCTTCCTCTCTCTGCCTGCCTCTCTGTCTACTTGTGATCTCTGTCTGTCAAGTAAATAAATAAAATCTTTAAAAAAGCTATCCAGTGGGGGAAAAAAGTCACCTTCCCCTCCCTGTCACCAAGCCATTTGGATCCCTTCCCTATAGCTAAATGACATTAGCAGGAATTTATGTAGCAGCGGCAACAATTTTCTTGAGCTCACAATCCTGAAATCAAGATCTGAGCTGAGATCAAGAGTTGGACACTTAACTCCCTGAGCCACCCACGCACCCTGAAATACGTTCTTTAAAAATCAGCTGGCGCGGGCACCTGGGTGACTCAGTTGGTTAGGCAGTTAGACCTTTGGCTCAGGTAATGATCCTAGAACTGATCCCTGCCTTGGGCTCCATGTTCAGTGCAGAGTCTGCTTGAGATTCTCTTTCTCTCTCCTCTCCCCACCTTTCTCCTACCGCTGTCCCTCCACATCTCTTAAAAAAAAAAAAAATGTAGGTACAAACCTTGAATCATATCCCCAGTGCATAGCATAGATCTTAGCTAGGTGACCCCTCAACGTACGTCTCGTTCGCATTTGTATTCGGCCCACAGAATCCATATTTGATGTGATCTTTAGAAAACAACAAGAATGTTATTCTTTACAACTTAGACATACCTCAGACAATAAAGCAGAAATAATAGGCATAAGACAGAAGACAACTTTATAGCAACTGAAGGTACTTTAAATAATTCCAGAGCCATTACAGGATCAGTAAGTTGAAGAAAAAGGGACTTTGAATGTTCCTATTTGCGCACCTTCCAGTGAAAATATTTATCATAGACTATTAACTTTTAAGAATAGACATACCTTCCAACTTTAGGGGGAAAAAAAAGCCACAGATAAAAATCAAACAGTAGGGACGCCTGGGTGGCTCAGTTGGTTGAGCTGCTGCCTTCGGCTCAGGTCATAATCCCAGCATCCTGGGATAGAGTCCCGCATCGGGCTCCTTGCTCGGCAGGGAGCCTGCTTCTCCCTTTGCCTCTGCCTGCCTCTCTGTCTGCCTGTGCTCGCTCGCTCACTCTCCCTCTGTCTCTGACAAATAAATAAATCAAATATTTTTAAAAAAATCGAACAGTAGATGATCAAAGAATAAATCATGGATACTTTTAACTGTTTATAAGAAAGCAAGCTCTAGTAGAGCACATAAAATATTTCCTTAATAAGAATTAACAATATTAGTTAAACCAATGAAACCTTCCTAAGAGCTGATGTAAAAAAAAAAAAGTATAATCAGCGCATATCAAAATGAATCAGAAGTTACCTAAAAAAATACATACGAATCTACATATTTTTCCCCCTAGAGTCTTCTATTTAAACAAGGGTGCTTTAAAAAGCACATGTACAGGGCGCCTGGATGGCTCAGTACAAGGGGGGGAAGCAGAGAGCCTGCTTCCTCCCTCTCTCTGCCTGACTCTCTGCCTACTTGTGATCTCTGTCAAATAAATAAATAAAATCTTTTTTAAAAAATCTAAAAAAATAAAAAGCACATGTACAGCATCTGACAAATTGTAGTATTTTTAAATACAGAGCTCACTTTTTTTTATAAAATACTAATAACCATCTGAGTATCATTTGCATCCACATCAAGCTCTTTCATGTGAATTACTAAAATGAATGGAGAGAAAAATAACTTTACCTGAATAAGCGTTGCGTCATTACATGCTTTCCTAGCATCCTGAAGTAAAGAAAGAAGATTATAATACATTTAAACATGGAAATCTCTGGATAGGACTTGAAATACTATTTTCATTGAAAACATAGACTTACAAATACACCTTTCACTGTACCACATAGTCTTTATTTAAAATTCAGTGGTCAGTACATTCATAACTTTGTGAAACCACCACCACTAATTCCAGAACAGTTACATTAAAAAAGAAAAGTTAGAAGAAGAAACAAAGGTACAAAAAAATCCCAATACTCCCTAATCCCCTCATTCCCTGGTAATCACTAGTTTACTTTTTTTTTCCTATGGATTTGCCCATTCTGGACATTTCTATACATGCAATCTTTTAATAGGACATTTTGTGTCTGGCTTCTTTCACTTAATGTAGGTTTTCAGGGTCCATCCATGTTGTAGCAAATGTCAGTACTCCATTTCTTCTCATGGCTAATATTCCACTGTTCGAAAGATCATGCTGTTTATCCATTAACTGATGGACATTTAATTTCTTTCCACTTTTTGGCTTTTGTGAATAATGAGGCTGTGAACACCCTTGTGAGCTGTGCATCCACATTTTCAGTTCTCTTGGGTATATACCTAGGAGTGGTGAGTGATGTGTAACTCTGCAATTAGCTCTTTAATCAAGTGTCAAGTTGTTTTGTTCACAACAGCTGTACCATTTTACATTCCCACCAGGAATGTAGTATGAGCTTTCCAATTTCTTCACATCCTCACCCACACTGTCATCTTTATTATTATTTTTAATAGCCATTTTCATGGCTGTGAAGTGGTTCTCACTGTAGTTCTTATCTGCATTTCCCTAATGATTAGTGATGGTGAGCATCTTCTTCGCATGGAATATCGATCTGTACATGAGCTTACTGGCCATCTGTAGATCTTTGGAGAACTGTCCAAATCTTTTGCCCCTTTTTAAACTGCATTATTGTTGAGTTGTAGGAGCTCTTTATATATTCTGGACACTAGATTCTTATCAGTTATATGATTGGCAAATACTTTCTCCCATTCTGTAGGTTGTCTTTTCATTTTTTTGACTGTGTCCTTACGTAAGTTTTTAATTTAAATTAAGTCTGATTTATCTATTTCTTCTGTTGCTTGGGCTTTCCATGTCATATTAAACTGCTGCTGAATCCAAGGTCACAAAGGTTAACAGCTTGTGTTTTTTAAAAAAAGTAAAAATTTTCTAACTAAAGATTTTATTTATTTGAGAGACAGAGACAGCAGAAGTGGGAGGGGCGGTGAGAGAGAGAGAGAGAGACTCTCAAGCTGACTCAAGCCCAGGACCCTGAGAGCATGACTCCAGCCAAAACCAAGAGCTGGACACTTACCTGACAGTGCCACCGAGGCACCCCTAAAATTTTCAACACTTTTACCGTTTATATTTAGGTACCATTTTCAGTTATTTTTTATAAATGCTATGAGGTAGGAGTCCAAATTCATTCTTTTGCATGTGGGTATCCAGTTGTCCCAGCACCATCTGTTGAAAAGATTGTTTTTTTCCCTCTCAAATGGTCATATTATCCTCACTGAAAAAAAATCAATCGGCCCTAGATATATGGGTTCATTTAGGGACTCTCAATTCTACTGTACAAATATACTTCTGGTTTATGATTAAAAGATTTTAAATTGCATCCCCATGAGTAAAAATGAACTAGGTTGATTTAATAGGCCCAGAGTATTCAGAGTTATATTTGTTATTACTAAGATTCAGCAAAAAGGTTCAGAGTTCCCATTTGGTTTGTTCTGGCATTTAGAAGTTGAGGTGATAGGAAGGGTATCTGTAGCATACTCAGGTCATTTCAGAAATATTTTTATAAATATATAGCACTTCCTTAAAATGCTTAGTATCTGTGTACAGTGTAAATGCAATTAGGAGTATTTTAGGTCCAATGAGGAAAAGATAGGATACATTAGGAAAACAATTTCTGTGGTGGGAAACGGCTCATACCGAGTCACATCTGTAAGAAGCAAGGTCCTTCCAGGTAAGCAGCTGTTTACGTTTAAGCATTCTAAGAGAGCCTTTCAAAGAGAGCTTAAACTTTTACACAAATTGAAGGCACTTATCAAAAAGAAGGTAACAGTGAAACAAATCGATATAACGAATAACATTTAATAAGCAACAAGATGTTTTAAATCAAGTTTCTCAATAAACTGAGGATTCATAGAACATGGGGAAATCAGAAGCACAATTCTTCCTACTAAACAATTTTTTTTCATCTCAAAGGTCAGGGTACTATCCTCTCCAACACATTTTCCCTACTGTACTCAGCACACTCCTGTGCAAAGAGGAAGCACACAGTAGCTGAATAAATGCCCCAAATGGGCAGTGTGTTGCAGTCAACCGAAAGAAAAATGCCTGCCTCTGCTTGCAGCAAAGACTAGATGGAACACACGACCTTTTTTAGCTGCCTTTCAACCTATTTGTAACACTTAGACTACTTCTATGTAAGGATGTTCACAAGTAGTTACACAAACATATGATTTGATTCTCTCATTCTTAGTCAAATTGTGGGTTAAGAAACCTCATTTGGCAAAGAATAATTTAGTCCAGTTTCCTACAATGAAAAGAATTTCCAGAAATGATGGTGATGGCCTGAGCTATCTATGTTCCAAAAGTGGTGGAGTTAAAGACTAAATTCTAGAAACAGTTTTCTGATTTTAAGCTTTGTGAAAATGAACTATCCTTGTTTAGGTCACCTTTCTTAACCCAGTCATTCAAATAAAAAAAAAAAAATCTGTGTCAGGTACTATCCTGGGCCCACAGTTATAGCAGCAGACAAGCCAGAAATGTCAGCCCTCACAGAAGGTTTGTAATATTAATAGTACAATTAAACAGTAAGTGATAATTACTGAATAGTGCAAATTGATAAAATTAAAACGTTGGAATATAAGCATTATACAATTAGCAGTTACTTGCAAATCATGCAAAGATTCTATTCACATGCCGAAGAATTTACTCTTATGGACACTTATCCACTATAAAATGAATATAAAATTATTCCCAATTTGGGGCACCTGGGTGGCTCAGTGGGTTAAGCCTCTGCCTTTGGCTCAGGTCATGAGCTCAGGGTCCTGGGATCGAGCCCTGCATCGGGCTCCCTGCTTGGTGAAGAGAGCCTGCTTCCCCTCTGCCTGCCTCTCTGCCTACTTGTGATTGATCTCTGTCAAATAAATAAATAAAATCTTTTTAAAAAATGATTCCCAATTAAAGGCTGAAGTCCATATTGTCCACCAAAATGTAAGACATCTTTGTGCAAAAGTGACATATTTCTCACTCCAAATAACAATTACAAAAGAAGAATGTTTCCTTTATTTTTTAAATTTAAAATAAATCCTACTGCATAAGATTGCATACCTTTCTGTTATGTCATGTGTTTATACCACAGTGAAGTACACAGTTAGATTATGTATTCTAGAAGTGAGGGGGACAAAGGGAGGGCCTTTAAATACAGCATGACGTGATTAAACTGAGAGGTACAGTACATGGCACCGTACATACAAGTGGTCACTTGAAATTACGGGAGAGGAATGTGAGCACCTGCATCTATGCAATTGTGTTTGGGACGCTGGTGAGCTATGACCAATGATTAGGACACAGAACTTTCCATCCGAGTACAAGCAGCAGAGGCAAATGTGCACAAGGAACTATAAAACGAGGCCAGCTGTGGTCAACCCTGTAACACAAACCCAAAGTGCTGTAATTTACTGTTAAGTCCTATGCACGTCACTTCACGTGATCTCCACAAACCTACGTAGTGGGCACTGGTATTCTCACTTTACAGCAAAGAGATCAAGAGTCACAGAAGTTAAACTTGTTCAAGGACACAGGATTAGGAAGAGCTGAAGCCCATGCACTTTCCACCACGCCATGCGGCCTGCCTTCCAATGAAAGACTAAATCCAAGGACAGGACTCTGGTGAGGCTTTTCAGAGGACTGGGACTCAACAGATAGGAGTCGATGGGAGGAAAAACTGGAGCCAAGGTAGTATAACCCTAGGCAAAGGAAACCATTTGTAAAAAGGGTGATGAAGGGGGAAAGAGCAGCACATCATCAGAGAACAGCCACCAGACTCCTAGAACAGTAACACAGGCTGCAGAGAGGATGTCAGCACAGGCTGCAGGGCCAGGAGGACACAGGCTCTGGCATCAAAATATACCTGGTCTGAGAGGCACCTGGGTGGCGTAGTCGGTTGAGCGTCTGCCTTTGGCTAAGGTCATGAGGTCAAGGTTCTGGGATCCAACCCAGCATCTGGCTCCTTGCTCAGTAGGTCTGCTTCTCCCTCTCCCTCCACCCCAATCCCACAGCTTGTGCATGCACGCACACTCTCTCAGGTAAATAAACAAAATCTTTAAAAACATACATATACCTGGCCTGAATCCTGGAGCTAGCACTTAGTAGCCACGTTGCCTTGGCAGATTATTTCATCTCACTGAGGATCAGTTTCCTCAGCTATAAAACAAAGCAAAACCATCTACATTAAAGGGTTGCTAAGAAGATTAAGGAGATTAGCATGCGACCATGTATTTGGCTAATCACCCCAGGCAAGGACACCACAAAGAAATTACAGATCAATACCCGTGATCAACACAGATGTAAAAATCCTCAACAAATGATTAGCAAACCAAATTTAACAGTATACTGAAACAATCACACCATAATCAAGTGAGACTTATCTCAGGGATGCAAGGATGGCTCAACATCCACAAATCAATGATACAGTATGTTAACAAAATGAAAGATAAAAACTGTATACTCAACTCAATAGACACAAAGGCATTCGACAAAATTCAACATCCGTTTATGAGAAAAACTCTCAAAAAAATGGGTGTAGAGGAACTGTACCTCAACATTTAACAAAAGTTCTATATGACAAGCCCACAGCTAGCATCATACTCAACAATGAGAAGCTGAAAGCTCTTCCTCTGACATCAGTAACAAGACAAGGATGCCCACTCTCCCCACTGTAATTCAACATATTACTGGAAGTCCTCAGCAGAGCAATTAGGCAAGAAAAAGGAATAAAGGCATCCAAACTGGAAAGGAAGAAAAGGAATAAAGGCATCCAAACTGGAAAGGAAGAAATGACATGGTATTATATATAGGAAACCCTAAAGACCACACACAAACACACACACATACACACACACACACACACACACGAGAAATAAATTCAGGGGACTCCTGGGTGGCTCAGTCGTTAAGCGTCTGCTTTCGGCTCAGGTCATGATCCCAGGGTCCTGGGTTTGAGCCCCACATCAAGCTCCCTGCTTAGCGGAAAGCCTGCTTCTCCCACTCCCCCTGCTTGTGTTCCCTCTCTCTCTCTGTGTCTCTCTCTGTCAAAATAAATAAAATCTTACAAAAAATAATTCAGTAAATCTGCAAGACATACAAAATATATAGAAGATCTTAAAAAAAATCTATCATTTCTATACATTAAAAACTATCAGAAAGAAATCAAGAAACGATGCCATTTACAACTGCATCAAAAAGAATAAAATACCTAGGGGTAAATTTAATCCAGGAGGTGAAAGATCTGTACACGGAAAACTATTAAAACAAAGATGAAAGAAACTTGAAGACACAAAATCAATGGGAAGCTGTTCTATGGCACATAGATCGAAAGAATACTGTTAATCCATACCAACCAAAGCAAGCTACAGATGCAAGGCAATTCCTATCGAGAGTCGAATGGTATTTTCTACAAAAATGCACATTCTACTTCCTAAACTCTGTATGAAACCACAGAAGATCCTGAGTAGCCAAAGAAAGTTTGAGACAAAAGAACAAAATGGGAGGCATCATGCTCTCAGATTTTAACGACATTACAAAGCCACAGTTATCAAACAGTACGGTAGCATAAAAATGGACACATGTATCAATGGAACAGAGAACCCAGAAATACACCTATATGTGTATGGTCAATTAATTTATGACAACAGGGGAAAGATGGTCTCTTAATAAATGGTGTTGGGAGAACTGGAGAACCACAAGCAAACGAATGAAACTATACCACTATCTTACTCCAGACACAAAAATAAACTCAAGATGGATTAAACACTTGAATTTAACACCCGAAACCATAAAACTAGAAAACCTAGGTGGTACGTACACATGCACAAGAGTATTATCCAGCCATAAAAAGAAAAGGTCTCGCCATTTCCAACAACATGGGTGGACACTGTGAGCATTAAGTGAAAAAGGTCAGAGACAAATACCATATGATCTCATTTATATGTATTCCAAAATAAAAAAAGAAAGAAAAATCCAAGCTCGTGTATACAGAGAATATTTTTTTAAATGACATGCTCATGGGACCATGCACTCAGCCAGTCCGTCAGTCCTGTTCAGCTTCTGCAGCAAGTGCCACCAAGCAGAGGTGGCAGAGAATCTGTTCTGGTGCTGGAAACATCTACCTCAGACAGTATTCTGTGAGGCCCTCCTTCATCATCCCAGGCAAAATAAATCCCTCCTTTGACAGCTTTGTCAGACACCTGAACTATCAAAGTCAGAGTTCTTATTTGCATCTTAATCATCCACGTCCTTGAATTCCTGAAAGATTTGGTTAGTCAAGATTTCAATCCAGTCAGTATCCACATTTTTTTGGTGAGTATCCTTCAGCCATCCTTTGTTCTTCCTGTTCCTTTCCTCTCTTTTCTTGTAATATCTGTGTATAGATCCTATGCTTGATTCTTTCTTCTGATTCTTCCGTCATCAAATCAGATAAGTTCTGAAACATCTCTTGCGGAAGAAGGTTCACAGGCAGGGGGAGGGGGCCGTGGGGGGCAGCCAGCAGTGTTCTGAGTCATTAGGGATTCTCCTGGCTTTGTTCTGAAGTTCTTCCGTGTATCACCTACTGTTTCAAACCTTGCTTTCTCTGCAGTAAGTAGGCACAGCAAGGATACGATCCAGTCTCTTTCCTCTACCCTGCTCACCAAGAGGCTTCCTAAACATGAAGGAAAATAGACATGCCATCTTTTATCTCTTTTTGGTCCAAGAAAACGTGTTTCCTCTGTTCCAGAGGGTTACTGGTGTTTTTGCTGAAGGAGTACTAGCCACTTTTGCAAAAACTGTCCCTCTCAGTCTTCCCACATCTTGATGCATTCCTGTTTGATTCTTGGCATGAAGTTCTAAAGGTCTTTTAATTTTCTGGTTAGATGGAACTTGTATTTGTTTAAGTTCTTCACTGTTTTGAGTTGACTTCCAAGAGTAAAAGATGACAGGTATGTGTTTATTATGCCACTAATAATTTTTCATGTTTTTCTGCAATCTAATATTTCAGAGATTCAGATTTTTCTACCATATTGTAACGTGATAATATCTGCCTCATCACAGGACACCAAAAACCAAGCTACAATTCCAGGTGTGTGAATAAGAATTAGGTTTGTCTCTCCACAGTAATTACATATAGAGTATTAACTTCTTAGGGACACAGAGCTCCTAAGTCCACACAGACATTTGTTAGGAATGATTTTTAGAGAGTATTTTAGAGGTGTGATAAAAACAAACTGACCACTTCAAGACTCATACATCTGGTATTTGTAAACTGATCCAATAATGAACACATTTTATTCATTGCTGGTACTAAACAGAAGCGTCAAAATTCCAGAATGAGAAACTCTGCTCTTACCTGGATCTGATTCCGTAGCTGTTCAGCTTCCTGCCTCAACTGCTCCAGCTCACTCATCCTTCTGCTTGTTTGCCTCAGAAATCAGCAAGTGGAAGCAACTGTCAAAAACAAAAACAAAAACCCAGCGGGCTAGATTCAGGTCTCCATTTACACATTAACCTACTTTTTAAACTACTGACACACAACTTCTCTTTGATCCTTACGAAATTCAAGTGAGCTAGCAATTCCAAGATCCCGCAACAACCATCTTAGTAAATACAGATCTCAATTACTCACTGAAAGGGTCCAACGGAGAACATGATCCGGGGATGTAAGAGAAATCCTGAGTTGAAGAGTCAAGTCTAATTTACAGACCGTCAGGACTAGAATACAGTCCAGTGAGAAATCATCTACGACACTTCAGACAACACCCATAATACCTATTTATCCCCATTTAGATGTCTAATAGGCACCACAGAGTTCATACATCAAAGCCAAACCCCACTCCACCCCCAGGTCTTCCCTGTTTTCAGTAAATGGAAAGTCAGTGCTGTCAACCCTTTAAGCCAAACACCTGGGAGTCATCCTTACTTCTTTCACACACTACATGTAACCCATCAGCACAACCTGCCAGTTCTTCCTTCAGAAAAATATCTAGGACCTGATCAAACCCAATTACCCCCACTCTGCCTACCTTGGTCTAAGCCACCACCATCTCTCACCTGGGCTCCCTTCTGCTGCCCTCCTCTGTCCTAAATATAGCAACGAGTCATCCTTTGTTAAAACACCAGTCTTTCTTCTCCTTCGAATCCTACAAGGTTTTCCACTCCAATTCAGAGGAAAACCTAAGTCTACCTTGACCTACAGAGCCCTACACAATCCCCTACACACCTCTCTGACCTGATCCATCACACTGCCCCTCACTCTGTTCCAGCCACTCCAAAGGCTTCTTGATGTCCTTTGAACACACTAAGTAGGATCTAGTTTCAGTTTCTTTACACCTGCTCTTCCCTTGGCCTGAAATGCTCTTACCCCTGATATTTTCATTGCTTGCTGACTTTTGCTCAAATCTTATCTCCTCAGAGGGACCTTTGCTGACAGCCCATATGCACCCATCTTACCCTATATGGCCGCCTCATGACTCAACACCATCTAGCATGTATTTGCTTATTTGTTGTTGGTTTTCTCCTGGTAGAATATAAGCTCCTTGAAGGGGACTTTGTTCGCTTTATTTTTTTGCTACATCCCTAGCACCTAAGACACCTCTCCAATAAATTAACCTGAAATAGCTTAATAAATAAAGGGAAAAAAAATTTTTTTTAAAGATTTTATTTATTTATTTGACAGAGAGAGATCACAAGTAGGCAGAGAGGCAGGCAGAGAGAGGGGAAGGGAAGCAGGCTCCCTGCTGAGCAGAGAGCCCAATGCGGGACTCGATCCCAGGACCCCGAGATCATGACCTGAGCCGAAGGCAGCGGCTTAACCCACCGAGCCACCCAGGCGCCCAAGGGAAAAAATTTTTAAGGATTTAGGATGAATCACAGAATCCAAAAGCAGGAATATTACCACCTCAGGAAAAAACCGAAGCTGAAAACTGGTAGTATTTTTTCCTCTACCTGTCCTGTTTTTCTCTATTTGTTTTCTCCTTTCTACAAAATAACTTCTTTGCTTCTCCAAGCACAAGACCCAGTTTTTATTTCCTCAGGTCAAAATCAGAGATCCAAATGACTACCCCAACTCCAAATTCCCACTTGGAGAGACTCTGATTCCAATAAGAGACAATGTGTTTCTGGTGTCATCCTTTATTCACTTCAACTGTAGTACAAGTATCTATTTATTAGGGTTAACTTTATTTTGTCAAGTTAACAAGTTAATTAGGATTGCTTGGAATGGTATTAAACTACAAAGTAAGAAGAACTGACATCATTCTAATAATCCATGTCCAATTTACTACTATAATACAGCTCTCTGTTTATCTAAATGTCCAACAAATTTTGATCATTATAAGGCTTAACCATTTTTTTTTAAGATTTTTTTTATTTATTTATTTGACAGAGAGAGATCACAAGCAGGCAGAGAGGGAGGCAGAGAGAGAGGAGGAAGCAGGCTCCCTGCTGAGCAGAGAGCCCGATGCAGAGCTCATCCCAGGACTCCGAGATCATGACTTGAGCCGAAGGCAGCGGCTTAACCCACTGAGCCACCCAGGCGCCCCAAGGCTTAACCATTTCTTGATGAAGTTCTGTTTAACAATTTAGTGTGTTCCTCAGAGAGTACTAGGCTGGTTAGATTACAGCCAAACTGGAAGACCATTCTGCCTAATGAGATAAGTAGCATTCAGGTTCTTTAAATTCACAACCTTAACTACCCTTGCTGGACCATTCCAAAGATCTCACTGGCCCTCAAATCCTAAAAACTCTGGTTCTGATGCTTCTTTATTTGCTCAGTGCCAAAAAATTTTGGGCATGCGAAACTGGTGTAAAGCCCTTACTGAGTTGCGGATGTACTAAAAAGGAGGTCCATCACAGGTTTCATTTGTTTTAGGGTGTTCAAAACTGCCACTTACCTACCCATCAACTACTGCCTTTCCACCCCAATAGCCACCCACATACAACTGACTCTCTACATCAGAGCTGTAAACAGAAACAGTAAAGGGTTCCTGAAAAAAGATCAACAGACCCAGCTCTCTTAAAAAGTCATTTCAGGGCCCCAGACATCTTGGGAAAGAATGTGAGAACAGCCAGCCACATCAGGCCAGGTGACCCACCTGACCCACACTCTTGAGTTATCATTGCAGGATCTAAACCCCCTGAGCACTCAAGATACCAGTCCATCCATCCAGAGCCAGAGAGGTGAGGACACTGGCCTCTGCTTTTACAGCTCCTCGTGACTTTGACCTGGACTCCATCACCCTAGGACGACTTTTACCTCATCTCCATGCTGTATTCCCCGCTGCCCAGGCTCCTTCATGAATACATATGCACCCTTAGCTTAAAAGCTCCCCAATTTTGTCCTTCTGCGAGACACCGCTTTGGGGAAGGGAAAAAAATTAACCCACTGTTCTCTTTTACTTACTGCAAGTAAACCCTTCCTTTTCCTTTACTTTGGCTTCTGCCTTTTGGCTCAACACTCACTAAGAGGCAAATCCAGTTTCAGGTAACACAGCCAGCAAGAGCTATTCAGGATATACCAGGATCTGCACCAAATGGAGGAGATTTTCCAGCCTGGGCGCCCAAAAGGATGGAGTACCATGAACAGAAATGACAAAAAGAAAGCAGTTCCCTCATCACCACCACTCTATGGAGTGGTTACTTCTCCACTCCTGGGTTACTTCTGGGAGAGGCCATGGGCCCTGAATATCCTTACACATTCTTCCTGGGCCTGCCAAACTATAAGGCCTTAATCGCTCTCACCGGAGCTGGTTCTCAGGGATGTATCTGGACAAGCAACCTTGAGGGATGAGACAATGTCTCCCGCCAAGAGAGAAGAGGTTTGCTTCCACTTACAATAAAAGTGGTACATTCCCCAAGCTCAGTGTTTCTGGGCTGTGACACAAATCTGATGTACATATGGCATCTATCTAGGCCCACTACTGGTGTTAACCCCATAGGAACTGAAGAACATGTGGGAATCAGCAAAAACCAACACCAGGATAGACTACTTGCTGTGCTGGAATAAAGTCCTTGGTCTCTGACCATGGAGTCTCACATCTGCTAGCATCTATGAAACAGTTAACAGGCTAATTTACTATCTTGTAAGTAGTGAAAATCCCAGACACTTTGAAGCCCTTGAAGGAGAAGGTTCATGAGAGAGAGGAGTTCAATAGGAGTTTATGGTATCTCTCATCTTTTAATGGAGATCTAACTGACCCCTAACATTGTGTAAGTCATGGTGTAAGTTTTAGTTACAGAAAGTGATTTGACATTTATATATCGCAATACACTTAACAAAGAGTTAACTGTCCCATCACACAATTACCATTTCTTCTTTGTAGAGAGAACATCTAAGATCTAGTCTTTTAGTAACTTTCAGGCATACAATACCGTGTGGTTGACTACTATCACTGCTCTGTGCAGCACTCCTCCAGAACTCCTCCATCCTCTCCCTGCGAGTCCCCTTCTTCAACAGATTAGACTCCAGGTCCAGCAATTCACCCACAGGAGTTGCCAGAACCCTAGTTTCCCCGACCCTTTTACGCTGTCACACTCAACAGACAAAAACCACAACCTTGTATGAATTCAACTACTTACTTTCTTTTGGCCAGTACTCAAGCCACCAAACATTGATTTAAAAAGCCAAACAGGGCATGGTAGTTACACTACAAATTCATTTCACTCATCTCAGCTGGGCCCTCAAAACCGTCCGGCAACCTACATAGCTTTTTACTCATCACTTTCACTCTATCAATTACCTCAGTTCCTTTGAACTCTTTAAGCTTCTGACCTTTCACACCCTCTTACAAATGACCTTGCCTTCTATATCACAGAGAAAGCAGAAGCCATCAGACATGAACTCTTTCAATTTTCTACCACCAGATAGATATATAAAACTATACAAACGTAACAGACTCATCACATTCTCCCTTCCCTCCATTCGAAATAGAGGAACTGACTTTTCTGTCCTTTGGTCCAATTCCTCCACCTGTGATTTAAATCCTATCTACGGTCTTTTCAGTAATCTTATACTTCCCTTAATAATCTCTTCTAGAACATTCAAAGTTCTCATTGTTCCTCCATTGTTCTAGTCTTTTAGGGAAAATTGCAAAGAGAAAGGTAGAGAAATCCATATAATGGACACCCATAATATACCATACGATTTACAAATTGTTCGTGTTACTGCTGTATTTCTTTCTTGATTTTGCTCATTTTTTTAAAATTTCTATTTTTTTAAAAGATTTTATTTATTTGAGAGAGAGACAGAAAGTATGAGTACAAGCAGTGGGGAGGGGCGGAGGGAAGAGGGAGAAGCAGGGAACCCAACAACCCAGGGCTCAATCCCAGGACCCTGAGATCATGACCTGACCAACCAACTGAGCCAACCAGGAGTCTCCACTTCCTAAAGTATTTTAAAGTCAGTCACAGACAGCAAGACTTTCCACTCTGAAATATGTCAGCACTCATCT